ATATAAGACCAATCACTTAGAATGTGAAAAACATTCCGTAGAAAACGCAACAAGGATGTCGTCAGAACAATTCGTGGTAAAATTACCTGTTAAAGGCCTTCGCTTAGGTGAGTCACCCCCAAGGGCTGTAAAACAATTTTTAAATTTGGAAAATAGACCGGACAAGGACCATAAACTAAAACCCGCCGACAAAGAGTTTATGCTAGAATATCGCGGCTTAAACCACACTAAGCTCGTTCCTTTTAATACTTTGGAAACCCCAAATAGTTATTGCCTATCCCATCGTACTGTATTTGAACAAGCAGATTATGCAAAGGTTTTAGGTTTTTATTGCAGTTGTGTTGGTGACCAACTGAAATATCAAATAAATTTTTCGCCAATTTGTTGTCCTAAAACTGTTACAAAACGCTACATGTAACCCATGGTCGCAAAATTCTTTAACCCTCTTGCAATAAATCCAATTATCGATAAGGCAAAAATTCTCTTACAAAACCATTGGTCGCATAAATTGAATTCGGATGAACCTATACCAGTCGAAATTCGCAACGCTTTCATCAAATTTATTAAAACCCTTCAGAAATTGTCCAATTTCGAAATCCCGCGAAAAGTTCAAAATAAAATATTGCAGTACTCCGCTTTCGTAGGTACGAAATTTCATTTGATACCCAGTAGGTCGGCTGATTTTGGGGGATTGTGGGGGCGTGCCGTACGGAGCGTGAAACATCACTTGCACAGGGTGGTCGATAATGCATTCTTAATTTACGAGGAGTTTTATACTTTATTAACCCGCATCGAAGCTTGTCTAAACTCCCGCCCCCTGACACCTTTATCCCAAGATTCAAATGACCTCGAAGCTCTGACACCGGGACATTTTTTGATCGGCGAGCCGTTAACAACGCCAGTGGAACGGGACCTAAAGGAGATCCCTGTAAATCGTTTATCTCGATGGCAACGTGTGCATCAGCAATTGCAGCAACATTTTTGGAGCAGATGGGCCAAGGAGTACTTGGCCCAACTTCAATTCCGTCCCAAGGGTCACCAAATCACGCAACCCAACGTCGACGTCGGAACTTTGGTAGTTCTAGTGGAGGATGGACTGCCCCCGCTACGGTGGAGGTTAGGCCGCCGAAGTTCACCCAGGTCACGACGGAATTGTGCGGGTTGTATCCTTAAAAACTAGTACGGGAGTGGTGAAACACGCGGTGACAAAGGTGCTCATTATCCCTAGCGAATGACGATTTTTGTGTTGCCGGCTGTGCTTCGCGAATTAGATTCGTGTGATTATTATTATATTATATACTTTTTATGTTCCTATGAATTTATAATAGCATGTATCATTATTAAGATGCCCCCCTCCAATTGTTTTGAAGTTAAACCTTCAACGGGGCCGGCATGTTGGAAATTCCATATCCAATCACCTTAAGCAGGTACCTGGGGTTGTGAGAGGTGGGGGTGTGTCCCACCCACCCCATTTAGTCGGTACCGGTACACACAATTATGTAGTCAGAGTTCTGGAATAAATCCCAAGTACAACGGTCGCAGTGTTCACTTTGGTCCTTCGAACCAATTCTAAATAATCAAAAACAACATATGCTGCGCATTTGATGAATTTTTATATTACTTTATCATAACCCTGTATTTATAAGTACTCGTATTTTAAGACAAATAGCGATAACGCTTGTCCGGATTGTACACGTGAGAGTGAAACAGAGAAACTAAACGACATTTTCTACGAGTTGCAATAACCGGATCACAATGCGATGGTCCAGAATTTTTTATTAACTTGACTTCCGCTTATTAAATAAAACATTGTATTTTATGATAATAACAATAATAATAATAATATTAATAGTTTATTGTCTAACAGAACAATGTTCCAATAGAGACAACAAATAAAATAAGAAAATTGTTGGCTTACATTTGTCTTAAATATAAATTAAATGTACTTTCCTTACAGTTAAAAGTATCGAAATTAACTCGTAAACTGTTAATAGCAGTCGCAATTTTACTGACAACCGAGCTATTTAAACCAAGATTAGTTTTTCTAAAGAGACAAACAAGTAAATCCCGATTTCTGGTATTAACTAAATAGATAGATAAGTTTATTGCACAACAGTACAAACGGTTAGTTAACAGTGTATACCTACTGATAATTAATTTAACTAACCTAAGAATAAAACAAATAAAATCATACATCAAACACAATAAAAAAGAACACAAATTTAAAATTTATTAAAAGAAATGCCTAAGTCGGTACCTCGTAAAATATCAAAAATTAGCTGCTTTTTAATGACTTGGCTCGACATATCAAGAAATTGATCTAAGTGATTCACAATATAGGGAGCTAGATATGAGAAAGATGATTCAAAACGAGCAGTCATATGAGTGGGTATAGTCAATTGTTTTTCAACAAATCTAAGCTCTCTACTATGGGAATCACTTCTTTTACACAATTTAGAAAATAAATAATCCGGCACTTTTTTAGCCAGCACCTTGCTCACAAAAGACACATAATGAATAAAACGTTGTTCATTAAGTTTAAGCTGGCCTAAAGATCGCAAATAGGGTGTTACATGATTAAAACGTGGCACATGGGTCGTAAACCTCACACAATTATACTGGATTTTTTGTAATTTGTATTTAAGATTTTCGGTCAAACATGGACCATAAACTATGTCGCAATACGTCAAGTGAGAAAGAACGAGCGAATTAATCAAAACTAATTTAGAACCTTCATCCAAGATTGTTCTAAGCGGAGCTAGTTGTTTTAATCTAAAGTAAGACATTCTGCAAAGAAGGGAAACGTGTTGAGAAAATTCCAATTTCGAATCTAAAGTAACACCCAAACTTGTTACAGTATTGTGACATGGAATTTTGATGTTATTAATAAACAAATCGTGTTGCAGATTCTGAAGTTGATTGGGATTGCCGAATAATATATTAACACATTTTTTAGAGTTAAGAAACAATGAGTTGCAACTAGTCCACTTATAAATTTCTTCTAAATCGAGGTTAACCTTCTGCCGAGCAAATTCCTCATCCTGTGGATCGAAGCTAAAATATATTTGGATGTCATCAGCATATAAGTGAATTTTGCAATACCTCGGGACAAATTGAATATCCGATATAAAAATAGAGAACAAAAGAGGCCCCAAGATTGATCCCTGGGGAACTCCACTTTCCAACTAACTAAACTAAAGGCGTTTTGAAATTTAAAACCAACAAAAGCTGTGCACAATCTGTTTGATTGTTCAAGAGTTTAAATCCAAATCGTAGCTTAAATTTCAAAACGCGATGATGTTTTGGTTCGAAGTCCGCGTACGTTTTGACAGAACAGTGGTAGTCCGGAGGTAGAAATTACTTTTTTGATTTGACGATTTTAGGCATGCCGTTAGCAACAGTAGAGTTGTTAAAGGTAACTTCAATAAAACGTGTTTTGGATTCATTGAATTTGCCAAATCGTTTAAGAGAAATGATTTGAAAAGAGTGGTTTTCGGGTAATAAGGATGTAATTAGTTTTATTACTTCTCAATTAGTGGCCTCTCAGCAACCTTGAAGTGTTTATGTTTACCTAACAACATCACGTAGAAATTAGTTTGATTTGAATGGGTTTGTCGCCTCAGAAAAGAGAATTAAATTTATACACATTTTCGACAAAATGCGGTGACTCGTTCTTAATTTAACCAAAAAAAGATAGAGTTTTATTAATTATATTAAATTTATCTTATTTATTGAAAAAATGGAGTAGGGATTAGACAAATACATTTTGATTAAAAATCTACTATGCGGACGATAATCTTGACAACTTGAAGTTTACGGAATTAAGATCGAATCACAAAAGATCGAAATATAAATATCGAATTTACTAAAATTAAAGTAAACTAGTAAATAGGACTAAATAAAATTTGTAACCCAGTTACACAGTATAATCGACATAAAAAAATAATCTGACAAAACTAAAGAGGAGATAATGCTTTCAAATACGTTATAAACCAGAGGGGGAGGGGAAAATTGTACAGTATAGAAATAAAAATAATTGGGACACTCCTTCACTGTTGACATCTTTAGACGATTTGGTGATAGAAATACCGAAAGAAATATACACCTGTTAAATAGTAGTCAGCAATAGTTTATCGACGCCATATTTGAGTTCCGAGTTTATTTTACCAATTTTGTATTTTCTATTAAAAAAAACCTTAAGGATTTTACAATTAAGCCAATTAAGCTCCGCCCCTTGGTTATGATGAATAAAAAAAATCATCAGAATTGAGAGAGGGTGGGTGGGCGGGGCTTATATTTTTCCTTTTTTTCTTACTATACATAGCCATCTTTTGACAACAAGAAGCTTAGAACATGGTTGAAAAGGTACATTGTTGCAAGGAAATATTTATTTTGCAATTATGGGCGGAGCCTAATTGCAAAATCGATATTTCCTTTTTCAAATGTTCCATTTTAAACATGATTTAAGTTTCATGTTGTGAAAAGAAGTCTACATATAGTAAAACAAAAAGGCAAAATGTATGCCCACCCACCCGCCCTATCTCAATTGTAATGATTTTTTTATTCATTGTGAAGCAAGAGGGTGGAACTTAACTGCAAAATACTTATTTGTTTACAAGAAATTAAAAACGTGCCTTTGAGTATCGTGTTGTACAAAGAATACTATGTATAGTAAGAAGAAAAGACAAAATATAAACCCCGCCCACCCATCCCATCTCAATTGTGAAGATTTTTTTATTCTTAGAAACTCATAACACGTTTAAACGTTTAAAATGGTAAATTTTTGCCGCTTAATTTTTGTGTTTAATTTTTTCTTAATATACACAGTATTCTTTGAACAAAATGATACTCAAAAATATTAATTTCTCGTAGAGAAATAAGAATTTTGCAGTTAAGCTCCGCCTTCTTGGCTCACGACGAATAAAAAAATTCATCACAATTGAGATAGGGCGGGTGGGTGGGTCTACATTTTGCCTTTTTTCTTAATTAAGAAATAACACTTCTTCGTAATGAAACGTTTATTCATACACAAAGTATCTAAAATTTTACAAAAACCTTACACTAACATAAATTATAAGTATAGATTTCTATAAACATATGCGAAATGGGTCATCCTAAGCCGTAATTTTAGTTTTCTCTTTGATCCAGTCCAAGAACGAGGCAGTCCTTGTGTACCCAGAGGGAAGTCCACTTTCACACCCAGTATCACTCACAAAGCTAATAACAGCGACATGCCTTGGATTGTCTGTGTCAAAATCTACCACAACTGGACCACCACTGTCCCCCTAAAACACCCATTACAAAACCTCCACTCAAAAATTCGGACTCAGTACTCACATTGCATGGAGTTTGAACCGGAGCAGGATTGGTGGCTGCACAAACCATTTCCGGAAGAATAAGCTCAGAATCCCCATAAGCCTTTTGACACTCTTCGTTACTTATAGTAACCAAATTTACGTAATTCAGAAGAGGGCTAATCGATGAATCGTTAGCCCTAGTTTTTCCCCAACCACTTATGGTAACAGTCACACTCTCCTTGACTTCTTCCGAAGACAAAGAAATTGACCGGACGCCGTCTAAAATAAAATTTACATACATGTGGGTAAAAAAATTCCACTGTACGAACCATCAAAAGTGAGCGAGTTCGTCAATCTTATCAGTGCGATATCGTTTGCCAGCGAATCAGGTGAGAAGTTTTCGTGGATTATGAATTTATTTTCGATAGCTGTAGGCTCAACTTCGGCAGAAATGTCGATTATTGCGGTGTAAATCAAAACTGAGTCGGCTCTACAAAGAGTTTTTTCTTTCATTAAAAAAAATTAAATAGGTCTGGGTTACTTACTCGTTGGCACAATGAGCCGCTGTTAGAATCCAGTCTGGGCTGATGATGGTCCCGGAACAAAACCAGAATTTGGAATCGGGGCCTCCTTGGAAAAAGAGGGCCGCTTGCCATGGAAACTGACCAGGAGTCGCTAGATTGCCGTTGATGATTCGCGAATCTTTTGAAAGATAATAATTATAGACGAATTGGTTAAAATTTGATTTACTTACCTGTATTTTCAATCGGTGGTTTGGCGTCTTGAGAGTAGGCGATTTGGAGGAACACGCAACCGAGGAGGAAAATTTGAAGGTGGTTCATTTTGGCGACGATTGTACTATAAGGCGTCTCCTTTATTTATGGTACTAAGACAAAAATATATTTTGTCTTATCTTATCTTATCGTTGATGATTCAGTGTCGATGTTGTGACGAAATTTCGTTTTGAGAAGGAATTTCCTAGGATGAGTTTATTAAGGTCTCGGAAAACTAAACGGATGTATGTACTTAATTACTGAAACAATTGTCGACCGACTAGCGTAAGCAAAAGAAAATTCTTCGAAATTATAAAATATCTGGCACACATTTTTTTAAAAACGCCTTGATACTTTAAGGGGAATATTAGTAATAAACGTCGTTTCCCATAAAGAGACAGTTTTGATTCGTGGAGATTTGACACATCCTTTTATGAAGCTGTCTTGAAGCATGTGATATTTGGAACCTGCGCTCACATGATATCTAAAAAATTAAATATATTTGTATATTTTTTAATTTCAAACAAAAACAAGTTAAAACAGTTCTGTTAAAGAATATGTACTTAATATAAATTTTACTGTTTTTCCACATGTTTGTCAGAAAATATTTTCGTTAGTTGAAATAAGTTTAAGGTAATTTTTGTTCCATGAATTTAATAAAGTTGCTTTCACTGTGGGTATTTTTCACTAAATTTATTACGACCTGCCTTCTTCATTCTTTGGGTGCCAATATCAGGTATAAATACTGTATGTTCAGTGGACATGTACTTAATTAAACTTTTATGACTTAAGACAAACTGGCTAATGTAAACTGCAACAAACAAATTTTCAGGTAGAAAAATTCAAGTAGATGTTCAGATCTTTTTCGACTTTCGTCAAACCGAAAATCCAGACAGCAAAAATTTCCAAAAAATTTAGAAACCTAAGAATGCAGCGAACCCAATTCAAAAAAGTCGAGTAATTCCATTCATCTAAAATATCAGACAGAGAAAAGCAAAAAAAAAATATCAAAATAATCGAAAAAAATGGAATGAGTCTAAAATAATCCAAAAAACCAATACCAAAACAAATTGAAATTTTCCAAAAATCCAAAAAAATCAGAAAATAGAAAATAAAGTTATTATTATTCAATCTACGATCTGGTAACAGGCATAATCCAAAAATTCCAAAAATCAAAAAAATCTGTACAACACGAAAAATCCTAAAATTCCTAAAATTCCAAAGAATCTAAAAATTAAAAAAGAATCTGAGAAATGCAAAAAATACAAAAATTCTAAAGAATCCAAAGATAAAAAAAAATCCAAAGAATCGAAAGAATCTTCGGACCCTTTGGACTCTTTGCATTCTCTGAATTCTTTCGATTCCCTCGATTTCTGCGATTCCTTTGATTCTGTGGATACTTTCGATTCTTCGGATTTTTCGATTCTTTGGATTCCTTGGAATCTTTGGATTTCTTGGATTTCTTAGATTCCTTGAATTCTTTGGAATCTTTGGATTTTTTGTTTTTCTTTTTGGATTCTTTGGATTTTTTGGATTTTTTGAGTTCTTTGGATTCTATGGATTCCTTGGATTCCTTGGATTCCTGGGATTCCTTAGGTTTCTGGGATTCCTTGGATTTCTTGGGTTCCTTGGACTTCTTGGACTCCTTGACCTCTTTGGAATCTTTGGACACCCTGTACTTTTATGGATTCTTTGGACTTTGTCCACTTTTTTGATTTATTTCATGCTGTCCATCCTTTCCATCCTTTCCATCTTTTCCATCCTTTCCATCCTTTCCATTTTTTCCATTCTTTGGATTCTGTCGATTCGTTCGATTCTTTCAATTCTTCCGATTCTTTTGATTTTTTCGATTCTTTCGATTCTTTTGATTCTTTCGATTCCTTCAACTTTTTCGATTCTTTCCATTCTGCCGATTATTTCGATCCTTTCGACTCTTTCTAATCTTTATAACTTTGTATTCTTTTTATTCTTTGAATTCTTCGGATTCTACGGATTCTTCGGATTCTACGGATTCTTTGGATTCTTTGAATTCTGTGGATTATTTGGATTCTTTGGATTCTTTGGATTCTTTGGATTCTTTGGATTCTTTGGATTCTTTGGATTCTTTGGATTCTTTGGATTCTTTGGATTCTTTGGATTCTTTGGATTCTTTGGATTCTTTGGATTCTTTGGATTCTTTGGATTCTTTGGATTCTTTGGATTCTTTGGATTCTTTGGATTCTTTGGATTCTTTGGATTCTTTGGATTCTTTGGATTCTTTGGATTCTTTGGATTCTTTGGATTCTTTGGATTCTTTGGATTCTTTGAATTCTTTGGATTCTTTGGATTCTTTGGCTTTGGATTCTTTGGATTCCTTGGATTCATGGGATTCCTTGGGTTTCTGGGATTCCTTGGATTCCTTGAATTTCTTGGGTTCCTAGGACTCTTTGGACTCCTTGGACTCTTTGGACACCCTGTATTTTTATGGACTCTTTGGACTTTGTAGACTCTTTAATTTATTTCATGCTGCCCATCCTTTCCATCCTTTCCGTTCTTTCGATTCTTTCGATTTTTTTGATTCTTTCCATTCTTTAGATTATTTCGATCCTTTCGATTCTTTCGAATCTTTATAACTTTGTATTCTTTTTATTCTTTGGATTCTTCGGATTCTACGGATTCTTCGGATTATTTAGATTCTTTGGATTCTTTGAATTCTGTGGATTATTTGGATTCTTTGGATTCTTTGGATTCTTTGGATTCTTGGGATTCTTTGGATTCTTTGGATCCTTCGGATCCTTTGGATCCTTTGGATCCTTTGGAATCTTTGGATTCTTTGGATTCTTTCGATTCTTTGGATTCTTTGGATTCTTCGGATTCTTCGGATTCTTCGGATTCTTCGGATTCTTCGGATTCTTCGGATTCTTCGGATTCTTCGGATTCTTCGGATTCTTCGGATTCTTTGGATCCTTTGGATTCTTTGGATTCTTTGGATTCTTTGGATTCTTTGGATTCTTTGGATTCTTTGGATTCTTTGGATTCTTTGGATTCTTTGGATTCTTTGGATTCTTTGGATTCTTTGGATTCTTTGGCTTTGGATTCTTTGGATTCCTTGGATTCATGGGATTCCTTGGGTTTCTGGGATTCCTTGGATTCCTTGAATTTCTTGGGTTCCTAGGACTCTTTGGACTCCTTGTACTCTTTGGACTCTTTGGACACCCTGTATTTTTATGGACTCTTTGGACTTTGTAGACTCTTTTAATTTATTTCATGCTGCCCATTCTCTCCATCCTTTCCGTTCTTCGATTCTTTCGATTTTTTTGATTCTTTCCATTCTTTAGATAATTTCGATCCTTTCGATTCTTTCGAATCTTTATAACTTTGTATTCTTTTTATTCTTTGGATTCTTCGGATTCTACGGATTCTTCGGATTATTTAGATTCTTTGGATTCTTTGAATTCTGTGGATTATTTGGATTCTTTGGATTCTTTGGATTCTTTGGATTCTTTGGATTCTTTGGATTCTTTGGATCCTTTGGATCCTTTGGATTCTTTGGATTCTTTGGATTCTTTGGATTCTTTGGATTCTTTGGATTCTTTGGATTCTTTGGATTCTTTGGATTCTTTGGATTCTTTGGATTCTTTGGATTCTTTTGATTCTTTGGATTTTTTTGGATGTTTAGGATTTCTTGTATTTTTTTTATTTTTCAGGTTTTTTTAATTATTGGATTTTTTGGATTTTTAAAATTTTTCGAATTTTTTTTCGAAAAAAATCCGAGAAATGCGGGAAATTTAACAAACCCGAAAAATCCGAAAACTCCGAAAAGTCCAAAGAATCTAAAAATTAAAAAAAACTGAGAAATGCAAAAAATACCAAAATTCCAAAGAATCCAAAAAACCAAAGAATCCAAAAATAAAAAAAAAATACAAAGGATCGAAAGAATCTTTGGACCCTTTGGACTCTTTGGATTCTCTTGATTCTTTCGATTCCATCGATTTATGCGATTCTTTTGATTCTGTGGATAGTTTGGTTTCTGTGGATTCATTGGATTCTTTGGATGTTTTGGATTTCTTGGATTCCTTGGATTCCTGGGATTCTTCGGATTCTTCAGATCATTCGGCTTATTCGGATTCTTTGGATTCTTTGAATTCTGTGGATTAGTTGGATTCTTTGGATTCTTTGGATTCTTGGGATTTTTTGATTCTTTGGATTCTTTGGATTCTTTGCATTCTTTGGATTCTTTGGATTCTTTGGATTCTTTGGATTCTTTGGATTCTTTGGATTCTTTGGATTCTTTGGATTCTTTGGATTCTTTGGATTCTTTGGATTCTTTCGATTCTTTGGATTCTTTGGATTGTTTCGATTCTTTGGATTCTTTGATTTTTTTGTATTTTTTGTATTTTTTCTGATGTCTAGAATTTCTTGTATTTTTGTATTTTTCAGATTTTTTAAATTTTTGGATTCTTTGCATTTTTAAAATTTTTCGAATTTTTTTTTAAGAAATTCGAGAAATGCGAGAAATCTAACAAACCCGAAAAATCCGAAAATTCCGAAAAATCCGAAGCATCTAAAAATAAAAAAAAAATTATAAATATAAAAAATACAAAAATTCCAAAGAATCCAAAAAACCAAAGAATCCAAAAATAAAAAAAAAACAAAGAATCGAATGAATCTTTGGACCCCATGGATTTTGGATTCTTTGGATTTCTTGGGTTCCTGGGATTTTTTGTATTCCTTGGATTCCTTGGATTTCTTAGATTCCTTGGATTCTTTGGATTCTTTGGGTTCTTTGGGTTCTTTGGATGTTTTAGATTCCTTGGATTCTTTCGATTCCTTCGATTCTCTGGATTCTTTGGATTCTTTGGACCATTTGGACTCTTTCGATTCTTTCGATTCTTTCGATTCTTTCGATTCTTTCGTTTCTTTCTACTCTTTCGATTCCTTTTATCTTTTGTATTCTTTTTATTCTTTGGATTCTTTGGATTCCTTGGAGTTTTTGTACTTTTTGGAATTTTTTGGATATTTAGGTTTTCTTTTTTTTGTATTTTTCAGATTTTTTAATTATTGGATTCTTTGCATTTTTAGAAATTTTCGAATTTTTCTTCGAAGAAATCCGAGAAATGCGAGAAATTTAAAAAATTCTAAAACTCCGAGAAATCCGAGAATTCGAGAAATCCCAGAAATCCAAGAAATCCGAGAAATCCTAAAGATCCTAAAAATCCTAAAACTCCAAGAAAACCGAGAAATCCGAAAAATCCGAACAATAAAAAAATTAAACAAAAATCCACAAAATGAAAAAAAGCAATTAAAAGTAACAAGGAAATTATTCCAAAAAATTCCAAAGATTCCAAAAAAAAAAATAGAAACACAAGAAACCCAAAGAACTTAAAAAATTCAATGGTCCAAAAATTGGAAATATTAATAAGATTCAAAAAAAATCCAAAAAACCCAAGAATTTAAAAAAGCCAAATATCTAAAAACGAGAAACTAAGAAACTCAAACTTGAGAACTCCAATCATTCGAAGAATCCAAAAAATTGAATATACCAACAATTCAAAAATCAGAAAGCAGAAAAAGCAAAACCAAAAATTAGCCAAATAATTGAAAAAATCGGGAAACAGAAAAAATCCAATAAACCCAAAAACGCAAGAAATCTAGTTATCCAAAAAATCTAAAAAATCGACAAAATTACCTAATAAATAAAAAAAATCAAAATTCCAAAATCCGAGGAAATAAATTAGTTTTGCTATAGAGGTTGTACAAATTAATTGAATAAGGGACAAATAATTATAATCACTAGGTAAAATCTAATTTTTAAGTTAATGTTACATTATTCTTCAAAACTTCAATCTCATTTGTCCAAATTATGACTGGGATAAAAATTTTACCTGTAAAACTATTACTTAACCACTAAAGAAATCTCATTTATTAATCACTTTAACCCAGTGGCGCTCAACAATTTTTGAATAAAATTTCAACAATGTTTTCTCAAAAACAAGAAGTCATTTATTATTTTTTCCTCATGTAGCGGATTTACCACTTTTTTCCCATTTTTTACACAGTATGCAGGAAAACTTATAAAAATCCTATAATCCGATCTTTAATTGTTAGAGATAGAAAATTTCGTCCAAGTAAAGAATCTTTATCAGGAACTTCAATGCTTTTTCTGTGTCTTCTTTTGTGGATTTGCCCCTTTGATGTAACTCGTATGTTTTAAGTAATGCCCACTTGATAAGGAATCCACTTAAATAAGGCGGGCTAGCATAAACTGCCAGATAGTAACAGTGGTAGCGACAAATCGACCTTGTTTAATATAGGTGAAATGAGTTGGAACAAAATTGTTTTGATAAAATTTATATTAACACTAAAAATTATTTCAACCTCGGCTACTATTACAGGTAATCATTACGTGCTCTAGTTTATTTGATTTTTGAAATTTTTCGAAATTTTTTTAGACGAAGAATACAAATTTATCCCAGAGCTTTTTAAATTTGAGGACTATGATAAATGCATCTATCGCAGTACTGAAGCTGAACCAACTTACTGCAGAGTTACAGTTGAATTACAACCGAAATATCTTACAGAGTCAAACGCCCTCTGGAATATAATAGAGGTAGAATCAGCGTGCTTATTTTTTTCTTATTTTTTTTTTCATTTTTTACAGAAAGTGAGCTCGGACAGGAAAAACTATCGCTACGATTTACTCAGACACGGAATATGCGCCAGTAGGAAATGTGCAAAGTACAACGAAACAATATCCGAGTGCTTAAGTCGAATATACAAGTCAAAATACGGACGTTTAGGACTTGATGCTCAAATTAACAAGTACCACTGCGAAACGAAAGAATCCGATTACGTTATAAACACTAAGGATCTTACTGTTTTGTAATAACTCAGTTCATTTCAAGACTTGAATTTATTTCGAAGTTTTAGGATGGGTTTAGGTACTTACGTCGGCTTTGTAGTACTAGTTTCAATATGGCTGGCAATTTATGGAAAAAAAATTGTCAAAAATGAGGACACAAAGATATCTTTTTGTAAGACTTGCACGACTGTGATTTTAGTTATATTGTATTCGTTTCAGTTGAGGATTTTCTCTCCGCATTTTCACTTTCTGACAACATCCACTCCATAATGCACAAAAAAGCGACAAATAATTATTTTCATTCTTTAGATGGTGTGCGTTTTTTTGGTTCAGTTGTTCTGACCATCGCACATACGACGGCTGCTGCAGCACAAATCCCAGTTTCTGACCCTCAGAAAATAGAACAAGTACAAAACAAACCATGAGTGCTCTGTACTAAATAATTTCTGATTTTAGTTTACGAGTTCATTTTTAGTTATCGCTGTAATTAATCTAACAGTTGCAGTTCAAGTTTTCCTCTTCATATCTTCTTTCTTAACAACAGTCAACTTTTACAGTCATCTGAGACGTAATCATGACGTTAGTCTGGGATATGTTGTGCGCAAAATCGTCAAAAGATATATGAGGTTTACTTCAGGGCAAGCTGTTTTAATCGCTTTGCATAGCACATGGTTCATGCATTTATTTCGTGGTCCATTTTGGGAGCAAGTAATGGGACCGGACCACAAACACTGTAACGAAAAATGGTGGATAAACCTGCTTTATATTAGTAACTTTTTCTTTGACGATGGAGTGGTAAGGTCAAACTTGTTATAAATTATTAAAAAAAAACAGTTTGTTTAAGTGTTTACCCCAAATGTGGTACTTGTCGGTAGATTTTCAGTTGACTGTGATTGGTTTATTAGTTCTATGGTGGTCCCAAAAGAAAACCGAGCAGATGTTTTTGGTTTCCGGATTATTAATATTTTTGCAGATCGTTTGGACATTCCTCTACTTAGGTTGGAATAATTTCGAATTCACCACTTTATATACACCAGAGTAAGTGTTTTGATTACTCAAGGTGTGTTCAGTCAACTCTAGTTTTCGTTATTTTCAGGTTAACGTATGACATGAATTTTACGTCCATTAAAGAGTGGCAAGCGACTTGGATAACTATCGCCACCAATTTGGCCGGACTTGCCTGGGGATTGAGTTTCGGTTACGTGTATTCACACTATCAGAATAACAAACTTTTTACGAAACGACTTAACTGTCACATTTGGTGGTACACGATTATTATGGTTTGTACTTTAGGAACGATATTATTTTCCGCGTATTACAAGACCACTGATTATTACTCGAACAGTAGGTGGTTCGCTGCAACTTATGGTAGTGTCGAGAAGGTGCTATGTGTTTTTGGGATGGGTCTTTTTATTTTTGGCTTGGTACAAGGTCTCGGAGGTGAGTTTATACCGTTTTTAAGTGACGAAAGAAACTCTTGTTTCGTTTCAGGGTTCATAAGGAAATTTCTTGAATGGGGTCCAATGCATACTATGGGCAAGTTGTCATTTGGTACATTTTTAATCCATTTTGTGTTTATCAGGATTGACACCGGTTTGCAACGAAATCCTGTTCACGCCTCAGTTTATTTAACTGTACTTTTTCTTCGTAGTGTTCTGATTTCTTTTTAAATTTGTGTTTTAGACGACTGAGGTATTTAAAAACCTTGCGCTATCTTACTTCACTTCAATAGTACTGACTTCGCTTGTTCTGATGCCGGTGGAAAATTTAGTGGGCAAGTTTTTGTAAATTTTAACGTTATTACTCAGGATAAACACCCATGGAGAAGGAACAAAGTTGCCCAACCAACATCCACGAACTATCACGCCAACAACTTAACACAAACTTTTGTTAAAAGTACTTTCATTTTGTTTTGTTAGTTTTGATGACAGGAAATTTTGCAATAATAATTAGTAATTACGAGTAAAAAGCATTAAAACCTGTGGGTTTAAAGCAAAATATTTAATCATGAAATCTCGAAGGAAATAGAAAGAGTTTTCAGGTAAACACCTTTTAATTATCTTCTTATTACGCTTCGGATTTTAGGTCGTTAAAAAATTAATAAAAGGAGACATTTTTAGGTCCCAAAATTGACGAATTAGGTTATAAAAATTTTAGTTTAGGTTAAAAACCTGGAGGAAAAAATATTTGCTCAACGAAAAAGCATAGGTACATCAAAAAAATATATATTTAAAAAAAAACACTAATTCTAAGCAAAAAAATGGCCATCAAATTAAAGCAAGTCGCATTTAACAAAAACTAAAATATTAATTCAGGTATTTAAAATGAGTAACAAAAGCAAACTATACATTACTCTAAATTTTCTATTGTAAATTTACACCTTTGATCGTTTAAAACACTTTTAAGTTTTGAAAACGTGCGTTCCACATCACAAGAAGTGATGGGTGCAAAATTAAATATTGAACAATCTACGTTTTCATTTATGTATGTATTGTTGGTAACATTTTCATTACCGCAAATTACGTTATTTACTGAACATATAAAATCGTATCCTAGATTCTTTTTTAATATATATATATATATATATATATATATATATATATATAATCAATAAACCTCTTGCACCTTTCGGTGTCGAGGTAACAAAAATTTCAATAATTCTTAAGAAATTTCAACTAATTAACAATTCAGAAATACTAATTACAGTGTTGAAACGTATTATTTTATATCCCTGATAAAACTTTTCCACTCTGTTCTGTCCCTGCACCGTACTGATGCTTGTTGCCAGGATGTGTTATTTCTTACCAGAATCCTACTTATGGTACCGTTCCAATCTGCTCTGGGTCTCCCTACACGCCTCTTTCCTGTTCCTCTTGCTTCCCAGACTTTCTTTACCTGCCTATTTTCACCCATCCTGTTCAGATGCCCAAACCAGCGTAGTTGGGACTGTTCAATAATTCTAATAGCACTATTAACATTTAGCTCCTGTCTTATTGTTTCATTCCTAATCTTGTCTAGTAGAGTTTTTCCTGCGATTCTTCTTAGGAATTTCATTTCTGCAGCCTGTATCTTACTTTTTTGCTTTTCACTTAATTTCCAGGTTTCACTGCCGTAGAGGAGAGTAGGCAAGTATATGGACTTATAAACAGCTAGTTTTGTTTTTCGACTGACTTCTCTCTTGTTAATGAAACCATTCTTAAGACTCATGTAGACTCCCGCTGCTGCCGATATACTCGCATTAATTTCTCTATCCAGTTTTCCGTTTGAATCAGTTATGGTACCCAAGTATTTAAATTCTGTTACCTGCTGGATTCTCAAGTTCCCTAAACGTATGTCTATTTGCTTATTATCTCTAGCCACAACCATGGCTTTGGTTTTGTCTTTATTAATTGCCATTTTCGATTCTTCTAAGACCTCATTCCATTTGTTTAAGGAGTTTTGGAGTTGCTTTTCTGAACTAGCTTTTAAGGTGATGTCATCTGCAAAAGTACAATTTCCGATTTGCTGTCTTTGTGGATGTTTATACCCGACTGTGGTTTTGTTGGTTTCTTCTTCGCATTTGCAGATGATTTAGTTCATGAAGATGATGAACAGTAGTGGGCTTAGCACTCCTCCTTGTCTAACACCCTTTGTAGTTGCAAATCTAGTTGATTTCATATTGTGGGCCCTAACTATATTCCAATTGTTTCTGTAAAACGATTTTATGGCTTCTAATAAGTTGTTGTCGGTGTTATGTTTTTCTAGAGCTCTCCATATAAGATTTCTTGGGACTTTGTCAAATGCCTTTTGTAGGTCAATAAAGCGTAGGTAAAGTTCTTTGTCATACTTCCTATATTTCTCCATGCATTGTCTGATCGTGAATATATGATCTTGAACGCTGTGGCCCGGCCTAAAACCGCTTTGTGCATCGTTCAGTGAATCTTCTACTGTTGATCTCAGCCTTATTTCCAAGATTCTTTCGTATATTTTTGCTGCCACGCTTAATAATGAAATCGCTCTATAATTTCCGCATTCTTTATAATTTCCTTTCTTATGTACTGGTATGATCGCTGCAGTGGACCAATCTTCGGGGACTCTCCTTGATCTCCATGCTCTTTGTAGTATCTTGTGTAGATATTTAGTGCCAGTTCTGCCCATATATTTGATCATCTCTGGTTTGATCATGTCAATACCTGCCGCTTTGCCGTTTTTCAATGATTTAATTGCCGATGTTACTTCGTCTATGTGGATGTCGTTTTCTGTGATCTCAGCTGTAGGTTCTGATACCGTTGTGCCATCGTAGTTTGATGCTTCCTGATTATTTTCTGTTCCTTCGAGCAATTCGGTGAAGTACTCCTTCCATCTGTCGAGAATTTCCGTGGGGTTGTTGAGAATCTGTCCTTCTTTGTTAATGATTTGACTCATTGATTTGTTTTCTTCTTGTCTCAATCGCTTTAGGTTCGCATAGAAAAGTTTTTGGTTACTTTTTCTGTTCTCCTCCATTTTTTCCCCAAATTCTTCCTACTCCCTAATTGGTGGTACTTTTTCCAAGCATCTTTCTTTTTCTTTACTGCTTCTTGTGTTTTTTTGTTCCACCAGTGGGTCTTTTTCTTCCTTCCCCCTGTTGTCACAGTTCCGCAAACTGACTCTGCCGCTTTATGTAGTATCCCTTTGTAGCAGCCCCACATTTGTTCTAGGTCGTAATCGCTATCTCTATTTTCCAAATCTATTATCATTGTGTTTATCTGCCTCTGGTACTCTCGTCTTACTTCTACTACAGCTAGTTTATATACTTTCGTGCTTTTCTTTGCTTTCTTGGAAGTTCTAATCATTCTTGGCTCTTCCTGGATTCCTGACTTCGCTATTACTAGGTGGTGGTCCGAACCGAGTTCAGCATTTCTATTTACTTTTACATCTTTTATTAATTTTCTGTGCTTTTTTTCTATTAGTACATAATTGATGATTGATTTTTCGTTCCTACTTTTAACTTCTCTTGTATATTTGTGTTCATCTTTGTGTTCGAAAAAAGAGTTTGATATTATGAAACTGTTGTTTATAGCAAATTCAATTAGTCTCTCACCGTTTGCATTCTTTATTACTTCCCCAAATCTGCCCAGCGAGCCTTCTGTTCCTTCTGTAATATTTCCAACTCTTCCATTTAGGTCGCCCAATATTATGACAGGATATTTTGCCTCGTTGCAGACACTTTGGACGTCCTCCCAAAATGAATCTTTTTCGTGTTTCGGATCATTCTCGTTAGGACCATATAAAATAATAAGACTGTATTTTCGATCTTTGTTTATTTCCAGTGTTAATGACATAATTCTATCAGATATTCCAGACCAATCTAAAACATTTTTGTTTCTAAATTGTTTTTTGATTATGCAACCCACCCCCGCTTGTGCTCTTAAGTTTTCTTCCACCCCTGAGTATAGTATGACTTCTTCACCTAGTGTGAGTTCACATTTCCCCTTTTGTTTTGTTTCGGTCAACGCAATGAGTGTGACATTCGCCTTGCGAAATTCGTCCACCAGTTCTTGTTCTTTCTCAGAGAGAGTTCTAATATTCCAGGTTCCTACTCTCATATACATTTTCTTGCTATTCCCTGAATTAATCATTGCCAGATTCTTTGCCAAGTTCGTCGTCATTTTCTCCGTTTTCTTAGATGCTTTTGGTTTTATGTCTTGGTATTCCTCTCCATTATTTTCTGCGTTTTGCCATCCCAGTACCATATCTGCTTGTCTACGATCAGTTTCTGATATCCTACTTTGACATTTTTTCCTTGGTCTCTTTCGTTTTTTGCCAGCTTCCTTAGGTTGGTTTGTACTCTATTTTCTTCTTTGGTTAAATTATTATCAATAAACACCTTGGTTCCTTTGAGCTTGGATTTGGCTTGCATAATGTCTTGCTTATCCTCCCAGCTTCCCAGTTTCGCAACAATTATATCCTTTCCTAGTGTTGTTTTTATCTTGGTTGCTTCTATGATTTTAGCTTGGACTTGAATTGTACTTTGTAGGAATTCAGCCACTCCTTGTTTTAGTGGATCATTCTGGATATCTGCGCCCTTGATTACTATATTATTTTTCTTTTCCAATTTTTCTACCCTCATAAGTCTGGTTTCTAAGAGCTCGATACGTGTTATCATTTTCCGGTTTTCCTCTTTCAATTGTTTTATTTCGGAAATGTAAGTTGTTTGGTCTTTCCTTATTTGTTCAACTATCCCAATCAGCTGATTTAGTAATTTCGTGTTTTCCTCGATTCCCGCCATATCTACTTTACTTGCTTCCTTTTTTGCTTGTTGTTTGGGTGATGGTTTTTGTACTTTTTTCGACTTCTTGGAGAGCACCTTATGAAATTCGTCTTCCCTTTTCCTTTTACCGTCGTCTGTTAATGACCCTTCTGTATTCGACATTGGTTATTTTCAACAAACCTTCTCGAGCGGAAAAGGACCTTATCTCGGAGGGTTTTTTCTTCAGTACTTCTTGTGTACTTTACTTTGCACTTTGACTTCGGTTACTTGATTTTTATTACCGTTATTACTCGATTAATCGACTTAATAACGGGCTCGATGTTGATTTCGACCTGTCACGCCACCTGTCACACAACCCTTTTTTAATAGAGAACATAATTTTTGGAACGCCATTTCCCCCACCTTTCCTGGTGTGTTTTTTAAAGATGTATACACTTTTTCCACAATTTCCATTATTTGGTTTAATTTTAAACCTATAGTTTCTAATTCTTCTATTGCATCAGCAATAATTTTAAAATGAGTTTTAATGTACAAGAGTTCATTTTTAACGTTTGCTTTATTCAGGAGTTCTTGAACTTTTTTAATGCTTTGTGCATCTGTGGCTTCAAATGACATTACAACCTAAAAATATTCAATATAAGAATGATAGTAAAAAAACATTATATATTTACTGACTTGTTTAAAACATCAAAGTGTTCTGCATAAAACAATTCTGCTTGAATCCAAGTGCCCCACCTGGTTAATACAGGTTCAGGTGGGAGGGGTGTATTTGGTAAACTGTTTTTATAAAACTCTACTCTTATTGTTGCTTTTAAAAAGATTTTCTGAACATTGCTAATTATCCCATTGACATCTGGATAATTCAGTCTAATTGTTTCAGACACCAAATGTAACCCATGATTTAATAAATTTTTCGATTTTTCAATTTTTGATGTTTCCAAATGTTTGGCTTTTCGATTAATGAATTTTTTAATTTTTCGATTTTTCATCTTTCCGATTTCTCGATTTCTCAAATTTTCATAGTTAATGTTTTGGGATTTTGCAGTATGTATTTCGATTTTTAAATTTTTAGATTTTTCGACTTTGTTTTTTTGATTTTTTACTTATTCGATTTTTAAACATTTTGCCAATTTTAACATCCTACATTTTTCGATTTTTCAATTTTTTGATTTTTCGATTCGTTGATGTTTTGATTTCTCGATTTTGTATTTTTTTTCCTTGTTTTCCTTTTATTAACGAAAAACTTTATTTTACAAACTTAAAATTGTCCCCAAAATTGACAGAAAATTATACATTAATTAAATAAAAATAAAAATAACTTAAACTCCTTGGTGGAAGTACTGCAACGTAACTTAACCTAATGTAACTAAAAATTAAACATATATATAAAAAACAACTACAAACCAAAATAATTTCAATTTTTTGAATTTTTAATAATTTTAAATTTTCACATTTTTGTTGTTTCGATTTCTCAGTCTTTTTGCCTTCTCATTTCTAGATTATTCGATTTTTCAATATTTCGGAATTAATTTTTCAGTTTTCCGATATTTCGATTTTTCAATTTTTTTGTTTATCGTATTTTTAAATTTCAATTTTTCAATTTTGATTTTCCCCATTTTTCGATCTTCACCTAAGTACTTCGATTTTTCGACTTCTCGACTAATCGATTTTTTGATGTTTCGATTTGGCGTTGTCAATTTTTCGATTTTGATTTTTAGATTTCTTGGTTTTTCGATTATTCGCCTTTTCGACTATTCGAATTTCCAATTTTTCCACGTTTCAGCTTTGGGATTCATTAATTTTTCGGTGACCTTTCTAAATTTTCCGAATTTTCGATTTCTCAATTTTTTTTATTCTTTGTTTGGAATTTTTCAAGATTTCGGTCTTTAAATTTTTAGATTTTTCGACTCTTTCTGTTGTTTTTTTAATGACTGGATTTTTCAAAATTTTGCGAGTTTTAAAATCTTACATTTTTCAACATTTTCATCTATTCGAGATTTTTTTTTTGGATTTTCTAGGTTTTTGAAAATTCTTAGTTTTTCAATTTTTCGATTTCGATTTCTCGATTTCTCAGCTTTTCGATAATTTTTCTTCTCGATTTTTCGATTTTCCAATTTTTCAGCGTTTCACTTTTGAGATTTTTATATTTAAATTTTCCGATTTTTCACTTTTTCAATTTTTAGCGTTTTCAAATTTTTGAATTTTTCGATTTTTCAATTTCTCGATTAATGGATTTTTTAATTTTTCGACTTCTTGTCTTTCCGATTTCTCAATGTTTCGATTTCTCAAATTTTCAAGATTTATGTTTTGGGATATTTCAGTACGTATTTCGTTTTTAAAATTTTTCGATTTTTCGATATTCTGTTTTTTTTTTTGATTTTTGACTAATTCGATTTTTCAAAATTTTGGCAATTTTAAAATTCTACATTAATCAATTTTTCAAATTTTTAAATTTTAGATTTTTCGCTTTTTTGATATTTCGATCTCTTGATGTTTTGAATTTTGGATTTTTTAAATTTTCAATATTTCGGATTTTTAAATTTTAGATTTTTCAGGTTTCTCAATCTTTCGATTTTTGGCTTCTCGTTTTTAGATTTTTTTTTCGGAATTAATCTTTCGATGTTTCGATTTTTTACTTTTTGGTTTATCAGTTTTTTTAAGTTAAAATTTTTCAAATTTTGAATTTTCCCATTTTTCGATTTGTCGCCACTTCAATTTCTCAATTTTTCTATTTTTTGACTTCTCGATCTTTTGAAGTTCCGACTTCAAGATTTTTCAATTCTTCGATTTCGATTTCTCGATTTCTCAATTTTTCGAAAATTCACCTTTTCGATTTTTTAATTTTCCAATTTTTCAACGTTTCAGTTGCGGGATTTATGTATTTAAATTCTTCGATTTTTCAATCTTACACTTTTTGACGTTTCTAAATTTTTTGATTTTTCGATTTCTTTATTTCTTGATTAATGGATTTTTTAATTTTTCGACTTATCAATTTTTCGATTTTTCTTCTTTCCGATTTCTTGATTTCTCAATTTTTCGATTGCCAAATTTTCGGTGTTTAAATTTTGGAATTTTTCAGTATTATGTATCTCGATTTTTGATTTTTCGATTTTTTTTTTTATTTTTTATTTATTCGATTTTTCAAAATTTTGCGATTTTTTAACTCTTACAATTTTCCACCTTTCAACTTTTGATTTTTCGATTCATTGATTGTTTGATTTGTCAATTTTGTAAATTTTCAATTTTTCGAATTTTTAAATTTTACATATTTCAATTTTCTTTAGATTTTCTGGTTTTTCAATTTTTTCGGAATTAATATTTCAGTTTTTCGATGTTTCGATTTTTCACTTTTTCGGTTTATCGGTTTTTTAAGTTAAAAGTTTTCTATCTTGAATTGTCTCATTTTTCGATTTTTAGTTACTTCTATTTCTCAATTTTTCGATTTTTCGACCTCTCCATGTTTTGATTTTTGGATTTCGCTATTTTTCAATTTTTGGTGTTTCTAAATGTTTGGGTTTTTGATTAATGGATTTTTTAATATTTAGATTTTTCGTCTTTCCGGTTTCTCGATTTCTCCAATTTTCAATGTTTATGTTTTGGAATTTTTCAATTTTGGAAGTTTTCAATACGTATTTCGATTTTTAAATTTTTAGATTTTTCAACTTTGTTTTTTTGATTTTTTACTTATTCGATTTTTAAAAATTTTGCCAATTTTAAAATCCGACATTTTTCGATTTTTCAATTTTTTGATTTTTCGATTCGTTAATGTTTTGATTTCTCGATTTTGTAAATTTCCAATTTTTCGAATTTTCAAATTTTAGATTTTCCCTTTTTGTTGTTTCAATTTCTCAGTCTTTCGATTTTTTGCCTTCTCATTTCTAGATTTTTCGATTTTTCAGTATTTCGGAATTAATTTTTTAGTTTTCCGATATTTTAATTTTTTAATTTTGAATTTCCCCATTTTTCGATCTTTACCTACTTCGATTTTTCGGATTCTCGACTAATCGATTTTTTGATGTTTCGATTTCGAGTTGTCAATTTTTCGATTTCGATTTTTAGATTTCTTGGTTTTTCAATTATTCGTCTTTTCGATTATTTGAATTTCCAATTTTTCGACGTTTCAGTTTTGGGGTTTATTAATTTTTCGATGACCTTTCGAAATTTTTGGATTTCTCGATTAATCGATTGTTTAATTTTCCGATTTTTCGATTTCTCAAATTTTTTAATTCTTTGTTTGGAATTTTTGAAGTTTCGATCTTTAAATTTTTAGATCTTTCGACTCTTTCTGTTTTTTTTTTATTTTTTACTTACCCGATTTTTCAAAATTTTGCGAGATTTAAAATCTTACATTTTTCAATATTTTCATTTATTCGAGATTTTAATTTTTGGATTTTTTAGGTTTTTAAAATTTTTGGTTTTTCAATTTTTCGACTTTTCGATTTTTCGTCTTCCCGATTTCTCGATTTCTGAATTTTCCGATTTCTCAAATTTTCAATGCGTATGTTTCGGGATTTTTCAATTTTGGGATTTTTCAGTATGTATATATTTCGATTTTAAAGGTTTCAGATTTTTCGATTTTCTTTTTTTTTGATTTTTTACTTTTTCGATTTTTCAATTATTCGAATTTTTAAATTTTAGATTTTTCATTTTTTTGTTATTTCGATTTCTCAGTCTTCTGATTTTTTGCTTTCTCATTTTTAGATTTTTCGATTTTTCAATTTTTCGGAATTACTTTTTCAGTTTTCGGCTTCGCGACCAATCGATTTTTTGTTGTTTCGATTCTGCGTCATTTCAATTTTTCGGTTTCGATTTCTAGATTTCTTGCTTTTTCGATTATTATTCGTCTTTTCGATTCTTCGAATTTCCAATTTTTCTCGATTAATGGATCTTTTTATTTTTAGATTTTTAAAATTCTTGGTTTTTCAATTTCTCGGTTTTGACAATATTTTGATTTCTCCATCAAAAACAAAAAAAAGACGCTAGGAGCCCCTAAGATTCTGTAAAATATTTTAAAAACAAAACACAAGAGGCCCCGAAGATTTATTTATATTAAAAAAGCCACTAGGTGCCTGCAAGACTTTTTCTTTTAAACGCAAAAAATTCGTCTAAACTTATTTAGACTGATCCTCCCTCAGCTCAGAAGTAAAAATATATTACCAGTACATGCTTAACTTCAATTGTTTATGTTTATACGAATGCCACAATTATTAAGCATGCAGAAAATTGTCCCCTTAATTACGCTACAATGCAGCAAGAGTTCTGAATATTATTTTGGGTAAGTCGATGTTATTATGACAATTTTAATTTTATCATTATTAAATATAGGCGGGCTCGCAGGAGTAATGCGGGCACACTCTTCGGTAATTCTGTCTTTCAGTTCTTCCATGGTGTGAATGGGAGTTTTAAACATAATGTTTTTTAGAAGATCGACCAAGAACTAATCCAGAGGGGTTAAATCTGGTGACCGTGGGTTGCACTCAGGAACTGAATGTACACTTTTCATTCTATCATCAAAGAATTCATGTAAAAAATTTAAATTGTCTACTGTTGTATATGCCGTAGCATTTAATATACAGATGCGTGTGGTTTTATCGTGCGTTCTTGGATAGATAGGCAACCAATAAAACCAAGTCAGTGAATAAATATCAAGATACTTTTATTTTATGGGTATGATTATTTCCCTTATGTTACGGGTTTAACGACTATATTATTGAAGAATCGTAGATAAAGGTAGGTATACAAAGTAAATTTTAATTTATTTTATCGCAGAAACAATATTTGTTTTTAAACGTCGCTTTATTTTAACATATTTAATTAATGGGCCGGTCACAACAGTGTCCTAGCTTTGCACTATTGATAAAAAATTGGTCTAAAGAGTTTAGACAGTACTTCCCTCGCTGTCGGAAACTTGACGACTGCATGCCTATTGTGTTTTTTTTCTCATTACATTTTTGTAGTGGGAATTTAAAAAAAAAATTGCGATGACGTCATCAACATTTTTGCAAGGACACGTATATCAGTTGGGATAGATGTAGTGTAATACTAAGAATAAAATTATTATATTCTCAAATTTTCGGGAAAATGAATTGGGTCGTTTTGAATATTGATTTGTAATAATCAATAAAATAACGAAACAATTTACTCACGTATACGTATCAGAGGCAACTGAAAATCGTGTATGTATAAACATTCTTAATTTAAGATGACAGGCGTAACAGCATACGTGAGAGTCAAACAGAGAAACTGTAAACAAAACGACCATCGGTTTTATTGCTTCGACTTCTGCTTATTATATAAAACATTGGGTTTTATTTTAATTCTTGACGGTGAAATTCACAATTGGTTGATTATAAACATGTCTATTTCACATTCGCGGAACCAAGTAAGCGCATAAAACAAATGCAGGTCTGTAATGTTAAAGTCGATGTAAATAAGCGTGCTACCCTTATGTTTCAACCGAGTTTTTCCTTTAACAAATTTTGTGTCTACCAAATTGGGTTGGTTGGGGTGTAATACTAATAATAAGTGTTGCCTTTAATTTAATCAATAAAATAAATTGACTTCATTAATTTTTTTGAACCACCTCTTAAGAAAATCTAAAAAATATAAATGGAATGATAAATCACAAGTACAAACTCATCATATTTTTTGCATTTTAGATAGGATTTATTCAGCAAAATTTAAGGGTGACGTCATCAATTTTTTTAGGAGGGATGAACAAATACATTTTGAACAAAAGTTTACCATGCTTATAATAACTTTAAAATATTCCCAAGATTTCAAAGCATTCGGTTTTCTAATTCCTGATTAAATCGATAAAATAAATTCACGCCTTCATTAATTTTTTTGAGTCACCCTGCATGTGCAAATCCAAAAATATGATTGGAATGATAAATCACAAGTACAGACTCATCATATTTTGTACATTTTAGATACGATTTATTCGGCAAACTTTTGAGCTGACGTCATCAGTTTTTTGTAGAAGATAACCAAATATATTTTGACTAAAAATTTATTATGCTCTTTATAACCTTAAAACATCTGCAAGATTTCAAAGCATTCGGTTTTGTAGTTCCTGATTAAATCAATAAAATAAATTTACGCATTCATTAATTTTTTTGAGTCACCCTGTATATGCAAATCGAAAAAATTTGAATGGAATGATAAATCACAAGAAGAGACTCACCATATTTTGTACATTTTAGATAGGATTTTTTCAGCAAAATTTTGTGGTGACATCATAAATTTTTTAGGGGGGACGACCAAATACGTTTTGATCAAAAATTTACCATGCTTATGATAATTTTAAAATATCTTCAAGATTTCGAAGCATTCGGTTTTGTAGTTCCTGAGTAAATCAGTAAAATAAATTTACGCTTTCATTTATTTTCTTGAATCACCCTGTATATGCAAATCCAAAAAATATGAATGGAGTGATAGATCACAAGTACAGACTGATCATATTTTGTACATTTTAGATATGATTTAATCGGCAAATTTTCGAGCTGACGTCATCAAGTTTTTGGAGGGGATAAGCAAATATATTTTGACTAAACATTTATTATGCTCTTTATAACCTTAAAACATCTGCAAGATGTCAGAGCATTCCGTTTTGTAGTTCCTGATTAAATCAATAAAATATATTTACGCATTCATTAATTTTTTTGAGTCACTCTGTATATGCAAATCCAAAAAATATGAATGGAGTCATAAATGACAAGTACAGGCTCATCATATTTTGTACATTTTAGATATGATTTATTCGGCAAACTTTCGAGCTGACGTCATCAAGTTTTTGGAGGGGATAAGCAAATATATTTTGACTAAACGTTTATTATGCTCTTTATGACCTTAAAACATCTGCAAGATTTCAGAGCATTCGGTTTTGTAGTTCCTGATTAAATCAATAAAATATATTTACGCATTCATTAATTGTTTTGAGTCACCCTGTATATGCAAATCCAAAAAATATGAATGGAGTGATAGATCACAAGTACAGACTCATCATATTTTGTACATTTTAGATATGATTTATTCCACAAACTTTTGAGCTGACGTCATCAAGTTTTTGGAGGGGATAAGCAAATATTTTTTGACTAAAGATTTATGATGCTCTTTATAGCCTTAAAACATCTGCAACATTTCAAAGCATTCTGGTTAGCAGATTAAAAATTAAATTTCAAAATGTTGTTTTATAATTTTGATTTTTTTTACAAAAATCTGGACGTTTCGGGTGAAAAGTCGATTCAGAGTTGTAAACTACATGTGTAGGACTATGTTATTTCATACAATTGAAAACCCATTTACTATGTACAATTTTGAAGTGACGTCATCGCATTAGTGGTGGGGATGATTAGACAAATTTTGGTTAGCGTTTTACCATCTACATGATATTCTTAATATAAGTACAAAATTTCACAACAATCGGTCCAGTACTTTCGGAGATTATCTGTCTAATAAAAATCCGGGACGGCAGACAGACGGACAGACGGACGGACAGACGGACAGACGGACAGACAGACGGAAATGGGAGACCTATTTCTTCGTCTTCTAGGGGTCATGAAAGATCGAGAAAACGTAAAAGTAGAGAGTCGGCCGACGGACTCGATTACAATACTTCCTTTGCTTACGCTCGGGAAGTAAAAATGGGACAACTGATGACAATAATTATTAATCATCAAAGACCACCACTGGTATTTATTGAAGACACGTTTTTTTTGTCACCGATCTAATGATGCCAGATTTGTTTAAGTTTGACGAATACAATAAATGCCAGTGAATACGTACTCCATCTTCCTCACTCATCTAAATTTGTCTCCTCTCTTGTCTTAAAAATACTAATAAAAAAAATCGACTTTTGATTGCTTTATTTAACAGACGTTACAATACATTTTGATAAGCAAGAGTTGGCTTTCCGAGGTCACGATGAAGCAGCAACATCAGCAGATCAAGGAAATTTTAGGGCACTTTTTCAGTGTTTAATTAAACCTAATACAGAATTTTCAAAACATAGTATGTTCTGAAAATTCTATATTACGCCCAAATTTTGAAATGAACTGACATATTGTATTAATGATTATTTAACAGAATATATTTATGACGAAATAAACAATGCCGATTTTTTGTGGCCTTGCTGATGATACCACAGATATAACAGACAAATCACAGTGATCTGATTTATTTTGAAACTTTTTTGGGTATTCCTTAAATTTTTCAACAGCCGCCAAGAAAAACTAATGTTTTAAATAATATATTTGGTAAACGAGCACCTAAAGCAGTCTAAATAATTGGTACACCATCTCCGACATCATGATACCTTCAAGCCTCAAAGTCACGATTCCGGCTGAAAGAATACTTCAAGCTGAAGAACAAATTTTAGAGCGCGTCGAAGAAGAGCCCGACATCAGCACTCGCCGACCTGCAGCGAAAGTTGAAGTGTCACAGTTTGTAGACTGATTTTCCACGTGGTATAAATTACTGCGAATGATTGTGAACATCGTAACGTACATTTTTTGCGAAAAACAGTTCCCTACGAAACATTGTACTTCCATAAATTATATTTTAAATTATCTTATCACAGAGACATAATTTTCTTTTAAACTTTGCATTATTTTAACACATTTAATGGATTAGTCATAACAGTGGTCTAACATGTACCAATGTACTGTCCATGATTTGCATTCATTTAAAAGCATTTGTTGATAAAAAACGTGACCAAAACAAGTGAGCATTTCTGATAATACCCAGTACTGCGTAAAGAAACATTGATGACGACATCAGCATATAGCAAGTCTTTGCGTATGTATATAAGTAAAATGAGCTGGACAAAATTTGTACTTACAAATTTTATTTTATTAACAATTACATCTTCCTCAACAACTACTATTGGTAATTATTGATACCACGTTTTTGTATCTCTGTTCTAATACCTGCTACTTTATCTTTTTCTCTTTTCAGACGAAGAATACAAATTGATGCCAGATTTGTTTAAGTTTGACGACTACGATAAATGCATCTATTACAGTACTGCCTCCGAACCAACTTACTGCACGGTCACAATTCAATTGTTGCCGAAAGATAGTTCACAATCGAACGTTATATGGAGTATTATACAGGTAGTATTATACAATTTTACAAAAATATAACCATTCCATTTTTTAAATTTTGACTTCCTGAACGTAAGCTAAGGAAGTATAATAATCGAGTCCGTCGAGTTGCCACTTTCATGTTTTCTCGACGTTTCATAACCTCCAAAGTACGAAAAAAGTGGTCTCCCGTTTCCGTGTGTCTGTCTGTATTAATTTTGATTGCAAGCGTAATCTCCGAAACTACTGGATCTATTGTCGTCAAATTTTGTATAGATGTCAGGAATATCATGTAGATGGAGAAACGCTATCCACAATTTGTATGATTCAGTATGAAGTTTTTTACAATTTTGATTTTTTTTTTCCAAAAATGTGGATTTACTTACCTTCGACTAATTTTTTGATTTCACAGTTTTCGTTTTTTCAATTTTCAGATTTGCAATTTTTGGATGTTCCAATTTTTCATTTTCGATTTTTCAGTTTCTCAATTTTTAATTTTTCGATTTTTAAATTTTCATTTTCTCGACTTTTTTCATTTTCGTTTTCTCGATTTTCAATTTTATTCAATTCCTTGATTTTCCAATTTTTAAGTTTTTCAAGTTCGCAATTTTTGGATCCCTAGTTAAACGATTTTCCGATTTTTAAACTATTTTTCAATATTTCGATCTTAGAATAGATATTTCCCTTTTTCAATTTTGCAATTTTTGAATTTTTTGTTTTCCAATTTTTAATCTTTCGATTTTTCAGTGTTTCATTTCTTGTTGATTTCCATTTCCAGATTTTTGAAAGCTATCATTTCATACTTTTTCGTTTTTACATTTTTGATTTTTCAATTTAACAATTTTGCAATTTTTCGTCTTTTCAATTTTCGGATTTGCAATTTTTCGATATTCTTGTTTTTCATTTTCGATTTTTCACTTTCCCAATTTTTAATTATTCAATTTTTCAATTTTGCAATTTTGCAATTTTTGATTTTCCAGTTAAGCGATTTTCTGATTTCTTTAATTTTCCATATTTCGAATTTACAATACATATATATTTCATTTCTTCAATTTTTCAAGTTCTTTATTTCTATTTTCAGATTTTTCGTTCTCATTTCATACTTTTCCGTTTTTCCATTTTTGATTTTTCAATTTTACAATTTTGCAATTTTTCGTTTATTCGATTATCATATTTGCAAGTTTTCGATATTCCTATTTTTCATTTTTTGACTTTTCAGCTCCCCAATTTTGAATTTTCCGATTTTTTAATTTTACAAGTTCTTGATTTTAAATTTTCATTTTCTCGATTTTTTCACTTTCGTTTTTTCGATTTATAATGTTACTTCGGATTTCATTCAATTCCTTGTTTGTTCAATTTTTAAATTTTTCAATTTTGCAATTTTTGGTTTTCCAGTTAAGCGATTTTCCGATTTCTTTCATTTTCAATATTTCGAATTTACCTTATATTTTTCGTTTATTCAATTTTGCACTTTTCGATTTTTATGTTTCTCAATTTATAATCTCGATTATTCAATGTTTCGTTTCTTCAATTTTTAAAGTTCTTGATTTCTATTTTCAGATGTTTCAAAGTTTTCATTTTATACTTTTTCCTTTTTCCCATTTTTGATTTTTTTTGTTTTACAATTTTGCATTTTTTCAATTTTGGGATTTGCAGTTTTTCGATGTTCCTATTTTTAATTTTTGGATTTTTGGGTTTCCCATATTTTAATTATACAATTTTTCAATTATATAAGTTTTTGATTTTGTTTTCATTTTGTCGATTTTTTCATTTTCGTTCTCTCGAGTTTCAATGTTACTTCGGATTTTATTCAATTCCTTGACTTTTCAGTTTGTCTATTTTTCAATTTTGCAATTTTTGATTTTCCAGTTAAGTGATTTTCCGATTTCTTTAATTTTCCATATTTCGAATTTACAATACATATATATTTCGTTTTTCAATTTTCGATTTTTATGTTTTTCAATTTGTAATTTCGATTTTTCAATGTTTCATTTCTTCAATTTTTCAAGTTCTTAATTTCGATTTTCAGATTTTTTGTTCTCATTTCATCCTTTTCCATTTTGCCATTTTTGATTTTTCAATTTTACAATTTTGCAATTTTCGTTTTTTCAATTATCAGATTTGCAATTTTTCGATATTCCTATTTTTCATTTTTTGACTTTTCAGTTCCCCAATTTTTAATTTTCCGATTTTTTAATTTTACAAGTTCTTGATTTTAAATTTTCATTTTCTCGATGTTTTCACTTTCATATTCTCAATTTTCAATATTACTTCGGATTTTATTCAATTCCTTGATTTTTCAATTTTTAAATTTTTCAATATTGCAATTTTTGGTTTTCCACTTAAGCGATTTTTCGATTTCTTTCATTTTCAATTTTTTGAATTTACGATATATTTTTCGTTTTTTCAATGTTGCAATTTTCGATTTTTATGTTTCCCAATTTGTAATCTCGATTTTTCAACATTTCGTTTCTTCAATTTTTAAAGTTCTTGATTTCCATTTTCAGATTTTTCAAAAGTTTTCATTTTATACATTTTCGTTTTTCCATTTTTGATTTTTAAATTAACAATTTTTTGTTTTTTCAATTTTGGGATTTGCGATTTTACGATATTTTTATTTTTCATTTTTGGATTTTTCAGTTTCACAATTTTTAATTTTCTGATTTTTCAATTTTACAAGTTCTTAATTTTAAATTTTCATTTTCTCGATTTTTTCATTTTCGTTTCCTCGATTTTCAATGTTACTTCGGATTTTATACAATTTCTTGATTTTTCAATTGTTATGTTTTCCAATTTTGCAATTTTTGGATTTCAAGTTAAACGATTTTCCAATTTCTTTAATTTTCAGTATTTCGAATTTGCAATACATATTTCGTATTTTCAATTTTCCAATTTTCGATTTTTATGTCTCTCAATTAGTAATCTCGATTTTTCAATGTTTCGTTTCTTCAATTTTTCGAGTTCTAGATTTCCATTTTCAGTTTTCATTTTATACTTTCTCGTTTTTCCATTTTTAATTTTTCTGTTTTACAATTTTGCAATTTTTCGGTTTTTCAATTTTCTGATTTGCAATTTTTTGATATTTCTATTTTTCATTTCTCGATTTTTCAGTTTTCCAATTTATAATTTTTCGAATTTCATTTTCTCGATTTTCAATGTTACTTCGGATTTTATTCAATACCTTGATTTGTGAATTTTAAATTTTTTAATTTAGCAACTTTTGGATCTCTAGTTAAGCGATTTCCCGATTTTTAAACAATTTCATTTTCTCAATTCTCAAAGTTATTACTTTTGATTTTATTCAATTCCTTGATTTTTCAATTTAGCAATTTTCGATTTGTAATCTTTCGATTTTTCAATGTTTCGTTTCTTCAATTTTTCAAGTTTTTGATTTTAAATTTTCATTTTCTCGATTTTTTAATTTTTCTTTCGCGATTTTCAATGTTACTTCGGATTTTGATTTCCATTTTCAGATTTTTCAAAGTTTTCATTTTATACTTTTTGGTTCTTCAATTTTTGATTTTTCAGTTTTACAATTTTGCGATTTTTCGTTTTTCCAATTTGCAATATTCCTATTTTTCATTTTTCGATTTTTCAGTTTCCCAATTATTAATTTTTAGCTTTTTCAATTTTTCAAGTTCTTGATTTTACATTTTCATTTTCTCGATTTTTCAATTTTTAAATTTTTCTCTTTTGCAATTTTTAGATTTCCAGTTAAGCGATTTTCCGATTTCTAAACAATTTTTCAATATTTGATATACATATTTTGATTTTTAAGTTCCTCAATTTTTAATCTTCGGATTTCTCTTCTTCTACAATTTTCTAGATTTTGATTTCCATTTTCAGATTTTTCAAAGTTTTCATCTTGTACTTTTTCGTTTTTACATTTTTGATTTTTCAGTTTTACAATTTTGCAAATTTTCCTGTTTGATTCGAAAAGTTAAAAAATCGAAAAACTAAAAAATCGGAAAAAATAAAAAAAATCAAAAATTTGAAAAAACAAAAAATTATCAATATCAAAAAAGTGGAAAATCGAGGAGCGGAAGAAACGAAAAATTGAAAATCAAGATACTTAAAGATTGGAAAAAATTAGTGAATCGAAAAACTGGAAAGAAGAAAAAACGAATCAAATCCAAAAATTGGAAAACCCAAAAATTGTAAAATAGAAAAATTGTAGAATCGTCAAAATTGTAAAGCCGAAAAATTATAACATTCAAAGATCGAAAAATTGGAAATTAAATATCGAAAAATTGAAAATTGAAAAGCAAATAAATAAAAAAGTTTTAAAATCCAATAATTGTGAAAAAGTGTAAAAAAGAATTTTTTATTATTACATATTTTATTATATTAAAATGAAAATTAGAAAAATTACAAATCAAAAATTGAAGAAACAACAAACTGTAAACCAAAAATTGAAAAATTCAAAAATTTAAAAAAGAAAAATTTTTTAAAACAAAAAAAATGAAAAACCGAAAAGAAAAATTGCAAGGAAAGAAACAAAAAAATCGAACAACTGAAAAATTAAAAATTGGAAAGCTCATGAAATTGCAAATCGAAAAATGCCAAAATTTCAAAATTGAAGCATTCAAAAGTTGGAAAATCGAAAAAATGAAGATTTTAAAAAATGATTACGTCAAGTGAAATTGAAGAAACAAAAAAATATGTGAAATTGAAAAACTGCAAATGGAAAAATCGAAGAATTGTAAAACTATAACAAATAAAAACTAAAACGAAAGATGGCAAATCGAAAATTTGAAAAATTGAAGAACCGAAAACTTGAAAAGTCGAATAAATGAAAAAGTTTTAAGCGAAAAATTGCAAATTTCAAAAATTGAAAACTCTCACATTGAAAAAAAAACTGAAGAATTAAAAAAAATAAAGAAAGTGGAAAATCGGAACGACAAATTGCAAATCGAAAAATTCAAGCATGAAAAATTAAAAAATTAAAAATTGAAAAACTGAAAAAGGCAATAATGAAACTCAGAATTGCATATCGTAAAATTGAAGAAACAAAAAAAATAAAAATTGGAAAATCGCAACTCGAAAATTTGAAGAAAAAAAAATTAATAAAAAAATTAGTAAAGAGGACCATTGAAAAAATCGAATAATTGAAAAATTATTGTAAGTAAAAACCGAATCGAAAAATTGAAAAATTACTAATTGAAAACAATTGAAAAATGGTAAAATCTAAAAATTGGAAAATTTCAAAATTTGGAAAAATGAAAAAAGGAAAAATAAACTCAAACAAAAAATTAAAGTGTTATTTATGCCACTAGTTTTTACTTTATAGAGGTTATTAGAAAACAGAAATTTCAAACAATTACATAAACAATTTTTCGAAATTTTTAAAATTCGCAGACTTAGGTGTACTCATTTTCAGAAAGTAAGCTCGGACAAGAAAAACTATCGTCATGATTTACTAAGACACGGAATATGTGCCAGTTGGAAATGTGAAAATTTCAATGAGACGATATCTGAGTGCTTAAGTCGTATATACAAGTCAAAATATGGACGTTTAGGACTTGATGCTCAAATTAACCAGTTACACTGCGAAACAAAGAAATCCGATTATGATATAAACACTAAGGATATTATCATTTTGTATGTAACCCAATTCATTTCTACATTTGAATTAATTTCGAAATTTTAGGATGGTTTTAATAATTTACGTGGTCTTTGTAGTACTCGCTTCAATATGGTTGGCGATTTATGGAAAAAAAATTGTGAAAAATGAGGATACAAAAATATCTCCCGGTGAAAACTGCGTTAGCACCACTTCATTATTTAATATATTTTTTTGTTCCAGTTGAGGATTTTCTCTCCGCATTTTCACTTTCTGACAACATCTACTCAATAATGCACAAAAATACGCCAAAACGGACGAACAATTATTTGTCGGTTTTAGACGGTGTGCGTTTTTACAATTCAGTTTTTCTGATCATCGCTCATGGAGCAGCCTTTATAGGACAAACTGCAGTTTCTGACACTAAAGCCATGGAAAAAGTACGAAATAAACTTCAAGTGTTCAATACTAAACAATCTAATTTTAGTTAACGACTTCCCTTTTTATTACTACTATCATCAATCTTTCAATAGCCGTTCAAGTTTTCTTTTTCATGTCCACTTTCCTAACAACTGTTAATTTTTACAGCCACCTGAGACGTGCGCAAGAAGTTACTTTGGGTGATGTTTTACGCAAAATCGTCAAAAGATATATAAGGTTATATTAATTTCAAATTGTGGTAGATATTTTTATTAAAAAAAAAAAAAAACTCAGGTTTACTTCAGCACAAGCTGTTTTTATCGCTTTGTACAGTTCATGGTTTATACATTTATCTCGTGGTCCATTTTGGGAACAAACCGTAGGGTTTAATCACAGACAATGTAATGAAAAATGGTGGATTAACCTACTCTACATCAGCAACTTTTTCTTTGACGATGGAGTGGTAAAGTCATAATATTTTACAAACCGTTAAAGTTAAAAAAAAAACTGTATTTCAGTGTTTACCTCAAATGTGGCACTTGTCGATGGATTTTCAGTTGACAGTGATCGGTTTATTAATCCTGTGGTGGACGCAAAAGAATGGAAAACGTCTACTTTTCGTTTCAGGAATATTACTTTTGTCACAAATCGTGTGGACGTTACTTTACTTAGGGTGGAACAATTTCGAATTCAGCTTTTTATACACACCAGAGTAAGTGTTCTGGAAACAACTGAAGTAACAGCCAACTCTAATCCCCGTCATTTTTGCAGATTTTTATATAACCTGACGTTTACGTTAAGCAAAGAGTGGCAGGCGACTTGGATAACCACAATCACCAATTTGGCGGCACTTGCCTGGGGGTTGATTTTCGGTTACATGTATTCACACCGTCAGAATAACACATTTATTACAAAACGAGTTAGCTGTCAAATAATTGTATTTTCAACTTTAACAAAAAAATTTTTAGTCTTACTGTATTTGGTGGTCCACGATTGTCACGGTTTCCTGTCTAGGAACGATTTTATTTTCAGCCTATTATAAGACAACTGACTATTACTCGAATAGTAGGTGGTTCGCAGCAACTTATGGTAGTATCGAGAAGGTGCTATTTGTTTTTGGGTTCGGTCTTTTTATTTTTGGCATGTTGCACGGTCTTGGTGGTAGGTTTTATTATTTTTAAGTGTGAAAAATCTACTTTTCGTTTCAGGATGTGTAAAGAAGGTTCTTGAATGGGCTCCAATGCATGCTCTAGGCAAATTGTCGTTTGGTACATATTTAATTCAATTTGTGTTTCTCAACCTTGACACCGGTTTGAAACGATATCCTCTCTATGTGATGGTTTATCTAGGGGTATGTTAATTTTTACTACTATTTGGGTGTTTTTTAATTACCGTTTCAGGCAACCGATATCTTGAAATACACTACTCTGTCTTATTTGGGCTCAATATTGTTGACTTCGTTTGTTTTGATGCCAATGGAAAATTTGGCGAACAAGTTTTTGTGAAAGGTAACAATATTTTTCTTGCTGCTATTCATGATTAACACTTATTTTTCAGTAATAGTCATCAAACTGGCGAACATATTAATCAATTTTTATAATAAAATGTCAGTTGTTTGTTGTAAATCTAAAATACCTCATTTAGGTGATTGTTAATGTGGTACAAATGTTACTAAAATAAAACTGTTCTGTTTTGTTCATTTTTTTGTTATGGTTTTAATTATTTCATCTACGTAATTTTCCATAAAAACATCCGAAAAAGTTTCTTCATGTCTTGATGAAAGCATTTTTTACAATTTTTGTAAAAAACTTAATTAAAGTATGTATTCGGCTTCTTAATTTTTCGATTTTTAGATTTTTTGGTTTTGAGATTTTTCAAAATTTCGTCTTTTCAGTTTTCTTCAATTTTTGAATCTCTCAATTTTCGATTTATCGATTTATCTACTTTCATGTATTTTAGTTTTGCATTTTAAATTTTTTAAATAGCAAATATTTTCTTGTATTGTTCGATTTTTTGTAATTTTAATTTTAGTTTTTTCGATTTCCAGTTTTGTCAAGTTTGCATTTTTGTCGATTTTTTTTGTTTCTCATTTTTCCGATGTTTTATTTTTACGACTTTTCAATTCGATTCGATTCTTAAATTTTTTAATTTTTTAATTTTTTGTCTATAAATTTTCGATTTTTCGATTTCTTGGCTTTCCAATGTTTTAATTTTTCGACTATCATCCTACTCGTATTTAAGAATGTGCCAGTTTTCGATGTTTCGATTTCTCATTTTTTAAATTTTTCGAAGTTTTAAATTTTTGGTTTTTCAATATTTTGATGTTTTCAGTATTTTAATGATTTCTTGATCTTTCGAGTTTTCTCAATTTATAATGTTTGATTTTTCGATTATCAATTTTTCGATTGTTCAGTTTCCGGATTTTTCAATTTCTCGATTTGTTGGTTTATCTAATTTTATAAATTTTACTTTTGTATTTTAAAATTGTTTGGCTTTTTAAATTTAGATCTTTCGAATTTTCGATTTTTGTAATTTTAAATTTTAGATTTTTTGTTTTCCAGTTTTGTCAAATTTGCGTTGTCTCGATTTTTTTTATTTCTCTTTTTTCCGATATTTTATTTTCACGACTTTTCAATTTGATTCGATTCTTAAATGTTTCAATTCTTTAATTTTTGGTGTCTCTAGATTTTCGACTTTTCGATTTCTCGATTAATGGATTTTTCGACTTTTCGATTTCTTGACTTTCCAATGTTTCGATTTTTCAACTGTCATCCTATTTAAGAATGTTCCACTTTTCGACGTTTCGATTTCTCATTTTTTGAGTTTTGAATCTTGGATTTCTCGATTTCAGGATTTTCAATTTCTCGATTTTTGATGTTTCGATATCTCGGTCTTTCGATTCTTCAACTTCTCGATATACAACCTTAATTTTTCGGTTTTTCAATAATTTAATTTTTTGTTTTTTGAAGTTTTCGAATTCTAGAGTTCCTCTAATTTCCTATTTTTCAATTTTTCAAAGTTTTAAATTTTAGGTTTTTCGATATTTTGATGTTTTCAGTATTTTAATGATTTCTTGATCTTTCGAGTTTTCGACTTCTCGGTTTTAGATTATTCGGATTTCCCAATTTACAATGTTTGATTTTTCGATTATCAATTTTTCGTTTCTAAATTTTTCGAAGTTTTGTATTTCTGTACTTATTGAGATTTCGATCTTTCGATTATTCGATCGTTCAATTTCTCGATTTCTCGATTTATTTAATTTTACAAATTTTAGTTTTGTATATATTTTAAAATTTTTTTAATTTTTAAATTTTCGATCTTTTAAATTGCAAATATTTTGGTCTTAAGTTTTTCAATCTGTCGACGTGTCTATTTCTCGATTTTTCGATTTTTGTAATTTTAAATTTTAGCTATTTGGATTTCCAGTTTTGTCAAATTTGCGTTCTCGCGTTTTTTTATTTCTCTTTATTCCGATATTTTATTTTTACAACTTTTCAATTCGATTCGATTCTTAAATTTTTCAATTTTTTAATTTTTAGTGTCTCTAAATTTTCGACTTTTCAATTTCTGGTGTAATGGATTTTTCGATTTTTCGATCTCTTGACTTTCCAATGTTTTAATTTTTCGACCATCATCCTATTTAAGAATGTTCCACTTTTCGATGTTTCGATTTCTCATTTTTCGAATTCTAAATTTTGATTTCTCGATTTCAGGTTTTTCAATTTGTCGATTTTTGATGTTTCGATTTCTCGATCTCTCGATGAAACTTCTGGGTGTTTGATTTTTCGGTTTTTCAATTTTTCAATAATTTAATTTTTCGGTTTCTGAAGTTTTCGAATTTACAGTTCCTCTAATTTTCTATTTTTCAACTTTTCGAAGTATTAAATTTTAGGTTTTTCAAAATTTTGATGTTTTCAGTATTTTAATGATGTCTTGATCGTTCGAGTTTTCGACTTCTCGGTTTTAGATTATTCGGTTTTCTCAATTTATAATGTTTGATTTTTCGATTATCAATTTTTCGTTTCTAAATTTTTCGAATTTTCAAGTTTTGTATTTCTGGATTTATCGAGATTTCGATGTTTTGATTATTCGATTGTTCAATTGCCCGATTTTTCAATTTCTCGATTTGTCGATTTATCTAATGTTATAAATTTTATTTTTGTACTTCAAATTTTTTTGGCTTTTTAAATTTTCGATTTATTAAGTTCCAAATACTTTGATCCTAAGTTTTTCAATCTTTCGATTTTTTGACTTGTCCATTTCTCGATTTTTCGATTTTTGTAATTTATAATTTTAGATTTTTCGATTTCCAGTTTCGTCAAATTTGCGTTCTCTTTTTTTTTTATTTGTCTTTTTTCCGATATTTTATTTTTATGATTTTTCAATTCGATCCGATTCTTAAATTTTTTAATTTTTTAATTTTTGGTGTCTCTAAATTTTCGTTTTCAATTTCTCGTGTAATGGATTTTTCGACTTTTCAATCTCTTGATTTTAAAATGTTTTGATTTTTCGACTATCATTCTATTTAAGAATGTTTCACTTTTCGATGTTTCGATTTCTCATTTTTCGAATTTTAAATTTTGATTTCTCCAATTCAGGTTGTTTAGTTTGTCGATTTTTGATGTTTCGATTTCTCGATCTTTCGATTCAACTTCTCGATATTTGATTTTTCGGTCTTTCAATTTTTCAATAATTTAATTTTTCGATTTCTGAAGTTTTTGAATTTACAGTTCTTGTAATTTTCTTTTTTCAATTTTTCGAAGTTTTAAATTTTAGGTTTTTCAATATTTTGATGTTTACAGTATTTTAATGATTTCTTGATCTTTCGAGTTTTCGACTTCTCGGTTTTAGATTATTCGGATTTCCCAATTTACAATGTTTTATTTTTCGATTATCAATTTTTCGTTTCTAAATTTTTCGAAGTTTTGTATTTCTGTACTTATTGAGATTTCGATCTTTCGATTATTCGATCGTTCAATTTCTCGATTTCTCGATTTATTTAATTTTATAAATTTTAGTTTTGTGTATATTTTAAAATTTTTTTAATTTTTAAATTTTCGATCTTTTAAATTGCAAATATTTTGGTCTTAAGTTTTTCAATCTGTCGATGTGTCGATTTCTCGATTTTTCGATTTTTGTAATTTTAAATTTTAGCTTTTTGGATTTCCAGTTTTTTTAAATTTGCGTTCTCTCGTTTTTTTGTTATTTCTCTTTATTCCGATATTTTATTTTTACAACTTTTCAATTCGATTCGTTTCTTAAATTTTTCAATTTTTTAATTTTTGGTGTCTGTAAATTTTCGACTTTTCAATTTCTCGTGTAATGGATTTTTCGACTTTTCGATCTCTTGACTTTCCAATGTTTTAATTTTTCGACCATCATCCTATTTAAGAATGTTCCACTTTTCGATGTTTCGATTTCTCATTTTTTCAATTTTAAATTTTGATTTCTCGATTTCAGGTTTTTCAATTTGTCGATTTTTGATGTTTTGATTTCTCGATCTCTCGATTCAACTTCTGGATGTTTGATTTTTCGGTTTTTCAATTTTTCAAAAATTTAATGTTTCGATTTCTGAAGTTTTCGAATTTACAGTTCCTCTAATTTTTTCAAATTTTCGAAGTTTTAAATTTTAGGTTTTTCAATATTTGGATGTTTTCAGTATTTTAATGATTTCGTGATCGTTCGAGTTTTCGACTTCTCGATTTTAGATTATTCGGTTTTCTCAATTTATAATGTTTGATTTTTCGATTATCAATTTTTCGTTTCTAAATTTTTCGAATTTTCAAGTTTTGTATTTCTGGATTTATCGAGATTTCGATGTTTTGATTATTCAATTGTTCAATTTCCCGATTTTTCAATTTCTCGATTTGTCGATTTATCTATTGTTAAATTTTTTGGGCTTTTTAAATTTTCGATTTTTTAAGTTCCAAATCCTTTGATCGTTCTCTTTTTTTTTATTTGTCTTTTTTCCGATATTTTATTTTTATAATTTTTCAATTCGATCGGATTCTTAAATTTTTAATTTTTTTAAATTTTGGTGTCTAAGTTTTCGACTTCTCGATTTCTCGATTAATGGATTTTTCGACGTTTCGATTTCTTGTCTTTCCAATGTTTTGATTTTTCGACTATCATTCTATTTAAGAATGTTTCACTTTTCGATGTTTAGATTTCTCATTTTTCGAATTTTAAATTTTGGGTTTCTCGATTTCAGGTTTTTCAATTTCTCGATTTTTGATGTTACGATTTCTCGATCTTCCGATCCAACTTCTCGATATTTGATTTTTCGGTTTTTCAATTTTTCAATAATTTAATTTTTCGATTTCCGAAGTTTTCAAATTTACAGTTCTTCTAATTTTCTAGTTTTAGATTTTAGGTTTTTCAATATTTTGATGTTTTCAGTATTTTAATGATTTTTTGATCTTTAAAGTTTTCGACTTCCCAGTTTTAGATTTCTCAGTTTACAATGTTTGATTTTTCGATTATCAATTTTTCGATTCTAAATTTTTTGAATTTTCAAGTTATGTACATATTTCTGGATTTATCGAGATTTCGGTGTTCCCATTATTCGGTAATTGAATTTTCCGATTTTTAAAATTTCGATTTTTTAAATTGCAAATATTCTGATCTTAAGTTTTTCAATCTTTCTCGATTTTTCGATTTTTGTAATTTTAAATTTTAGATTATTTTCGATTTCCAGTTTTGTCAAGTTTGCGTTCTCTCAATTTTTTCTTATTTCTTTTTTCCGATATTTTTCAATTTTTAGAACTTTTCAATTCGATTCTATTCTTAAAATTTTCAATTTTTTAATTTTTAGTGCCTCTAAATTTTCGATTTTTCGATTAATGGATTTTTCAACTTTTCGATTTCTTGACTTTCGATTCTACAAGTTCTTGATTGATTTTTCGGTTTTTCAATTTTTTAATAATTTACTTTTTCGATTTCTGAAGTTTTCGAATTTACAGTTCTTCTGTTTTTCTATTTTTCGAAGTTTTAAATTTTTGGTTTTTCGATATTTTGATGTCTTCAATATTTTGATGATTTCTTGATCTTTCGAGTTTTCGACTTCTTGCTTTTAGATTATTCGGTTTTTTCAATTTTTGGTCACGTCAGTTTTGAAATTTTTCAATTTCTCTATTTTTCAATTTTTCAATTTTTTAAATTTTACATTTATCGATTTTTTAATTTTTCGATCTTACGTTTTTTTGGATGTTTCAATTCCCATATTTTTCACAATTTTTATGAAGGCAATTTTTCATTTCGGTATTTTGATGTTATTTAGTTGTTCGATTTTTTGGTTTATCAACTTTTCGGCTTTTGAATTTATCGATTTTTAAATTTTTGACATTTCAATTTACCAGTTTTTCGATTTTTCAACTTTTCGGTTTTTTCATTTTTATATTTTGTTCATTTCTGGATTTTTAGATTTATGGACATTCCGATGTTCTAATTTTTGATTAAAATTTTCGCCAGAAGTTTTCGATTTTTTGATTTTTGATGTTCGATTTTTAAATTTTTCGAACATTTAAATCTTAGGTTTTTCAATATTTTGATGTTTTCATTATTTTGATGATTTTTTGATCCTTCGAGTTTTCGACTTCTTGGTTTTAAATTATTCGGTTTTCCCAATTTTTCGATTTTTTAGAATGTTTGACTTTTTGATATCAATTTTTCGTTTCTAAATTTTTCGAATTTTCAAATTTCGTATTTCTAATTTTTCGAGATTTCGGTGTCTCGATTATTCGATTGTTCAATTTCCCAATTTTTAAATTTTTCGATTTTTCGATTTTACAATTTTTAGTACATCAATTTCTCATTCCTCAACATCTCTGTTTTTCAGTTTTTAAAATTTTTCGACACTTAGATTTTTCGATTTATCGGTTTTACAAGTTTTCAAGTGGTTCATTTTTTAACATTTCAATTTTGGAAATGTTTCAATTTTTCGTTATTTTGATGTTAGTTCCTCGATCTTTCGGTTTATCAACTTTTTGGCTTTTGAATTTATCGATTTTTAACACTTTTGACATTTCAATTTTTCAGCTTTCGATTTTTTTACTTTTCGATTGTTTATTTGTCGAGTTTTCGAATTTTTCATTTTTCGATTTTTCAGTTCTTTGATTTTTCGATTTTCGAATTTTCGGCTTTTCGATATTAGAATTTTCAATCTGTTTACCTTCTCGTTTTTCGATTTCTCGTGTGCTGTGTATACTACTAAACAAAAGTAAACTTAAAAAAAATGACACAAGAAATAAACACATTGTTTCAAGGTCTCAAAAGTGAAACTAGAACCACTTATTTACCCAATGACGCAGATGATTTTTTACGGTCGTCTCTTAAACTACAAATCTTGTGATTAAAATCTGCAAGAATCATTTGGAGTGTTTATATACATTAGCATAGCGGTTATTGCAGTGTAAAAACAAAAACTTGTTTAGTTAATGCGAAAAATTATTTTTTTCGTTTTTATCAACAATAAAAATTCAACCTAGATGAGGAATTTTTTGTGAATTCAGTGTTCATTATTTTAAAGACATTGATCGTCAAAATATGCGAAATACGCAATACTAATTTTATGTGAATCAATTAAAAAAGGATGACGAAATTATTTTTCTGAATTTTTTGATGAGGAGGCCTAACCTCCCAGCGAGCCACCACTCTTTTACACCTGAACCATAATAAACATAATATGTTAAACCCAGATATAATTATTCCAGTAACACTGATTATATCAGAGGTTAGACATCTTAAAAATATTATACAAGTAAAATGGTTTCGACAAAATTTATAATAATAAAATGTGTATTGTTAAACATTATTTCTTTGTCAACAACAACTACAGGTGAATATTATAGCCACCTTTTCGTACCTTTGCTCTAAAAAGTGATACTTGTTATTTTTGTTATATAGAAGAAGAATACAAACTGTTACCAGATCTGTTTAAGTTTGACGACTATGACAAGTGTTTTTATTATAGTACTGCTTCTGAACCAACTTACTGTACAATTACAGTTGAATTGCTACCGAAACAATTTCCACATTCAAACCATTTATGGGATATTATAGAGGTAAGCTGAATAATTTATTTTATCTTTACTTTCTGAGCTTAAGCGGAAGAAGTTTTGTAATCGAGTCCGTCGGCTGACTCTCTACTTTTACATTTTCTCGACCTTTCATGACCCTTACAGTACGAAGAAATACCTTAGGTCTCCCGTTTCCGCTTGTCTGTCTGTCTGTCTCTCGGGATAATCTTCGAAAGTACTGGGCCGATTGTCATTTTTAGATTTTTTCTATTTTTCAATTTTTCGGAAATAAATTTTTAGTTTTTCGATCTTTTAATTTTTCAATTTTTGACTTGACCGTCTTCTTTCGATTTTCGCCTTTTCGTTTTTATATTTTTTCGGAATTAATTTTTTAGTTTTTTGATGTTTCGATTTTTCACTTTCAAGGTTTATCGGTTTTTTTAAGTCAAAATTTTTCAATTTTCAATTGTCTCATTTTTCGATTTTTAGTTAATTAAATTTTTCAATTTTTCGATTTTTCGACTTCTCGATTTTTTTATTTTTCGATTTCGCGATTTATCTATTTTTCGGTTTCGATTTCTCGATTTCTCAGTTTTTCGATAAATAATAATTTATCTTTCCGATTTTTCAATTTTTCAGTTTTTCAACGTTTCTGTTTTGGGATTTAACTGTATTTAAATATTTCGATTTTTCAATTTTTCAATTCTTGGAGTTTCTAAATATTTGGATTTTTCCATTTCTTTTCTCCATTAATGGATTTTTTAATTTTTCGAATTTTCGATTTTTCGTCTTTCCTAGTTCTCGATGTCTCAATTTCTCGATTTCTCAAATATTCAATGCATATGTTTTGGGATTCGTCAGTATGTATTTCGATTTTTAAATTTTTCGATTTTTCGATTTTTCAATTCTTGGAGTTTCTAAATTTTTGGATTTTTCCATTTCTTTTCTCCATTAATGGATTTTTTAATTTTTCGAATTTTCGATTTTTCGTCTTTCCTAGTTCTCGATGTCTCAATTTCTCGATTTCTCAAATATTCAATGCATATGTTTTGGGATTCGTCAGTATGTATTTCGATTTTTAAATTTTTCGATTTTTCGATTTTTTTTTTTTTGATTTTTTACTTATTCCATTTATCAAAATTTTGCAAATTTTAAAACCTTACATTTTTCGATTGTTCAGTTTTTTGATTTTTCGATTCGCTGATGTTTTGATTTCCCGATTTTGTAAATTTTCAGTTTTTCGAATTTTTATATTTTTCATTTTTGTTGTTCCGATTTCTCAGTCTTTCGATTTTTTGCTTTTCCATTTTTAGATTTTTCGATTTTTCAAATTTTCGGAATTAATTTTTGAATTTTTCGATATTTCGATTTTTCAATTTTTTGATTTATCTGGTTTTCTATGTTTCAATTTTTCAATTTTGAATTTCCCCATTTTTCGATATATACCTATCTCGATTTTTTAACTTCTCGACTTACTGATTTTTGGATGTTTCGATTTCGCGTTATGTCAATTTCTTGTTAGATATTTTGGTTTTTCGATTATTCGTCGTTTCGATTATATGAATTTCCAATTTTTCGGCGTTTCAATTTTGGAGTTTATTAATTTTTCGATTTCGGCCAAATTTTGACATTTTCGAAACTTAAATAAACACATTTTCTTGTTGATTTCGAGCTCTAGAACTCAGTTCCGGCCTCGTTTCTTTGATAATTGCAGCGGTTTTTACGGAATCGACCGTTGAAATATCGAAAATTTTAGAAATTCTCAAAAATCAGCATTTCGTAGCGATTCTTTCGAAAATGTTGCTCCGGGGCCATCAGCACCCTATATTTTTGGAATCAGCACGTCGAGATCTACGTCCCTGAATTTTTTCAGAACTTTTAGACAAGTTTTTTAAAATTGAAGTTTTTCCAATTGTCCCCCCTTCTTCACAATTCGGCCAAATTTTGACATTTTCGAAACTCAACTAAATACATTTTCTTCTAGATTTCGAGCTCTAGAACTCAGGTCCGGCCTCGTTTCTTTGATAATTGCAACCTTTTTTCAGGAATCGACCATTGAAATATCGAGATTTTTAGAAATTCTCAAAAATTCGCATTTCGTTGTGATTCTTTCGAAAATGATGCTCCAGGGTCATCAACGTCCTACATTTTTGGAATCAGTATGTCGAGATCTAAGTTCCTGAATTGTTTCATAATTTTTAGACGACTTTTTTAAAAGTGAAATTTTTGCCATGGTTCCCCCTTCTTCACAATTCGGCCAAATTTTGTCATTTTCGAAACTCAACTAAACACATTTTCTTGTAGATCTCGAGGTCTAGAACTCAGTTCCGGCCTCGTTTCTTTGATAACTGCAACCGTTTTCCTGGAATCGACCATTGAAATATCGAGATTTTTAGAAATTCTCAAAAATCAGCATTTCGTAGCGATTCTTTCGAAAATGTTATTCCGGGGCCATCAACACCCTATATTTTTGGAATCAGCATGTCGAGATCTACGTCTCTGAATTTTTTCAGAATTTTTAGACAACTTTTTTAAAATTGAAATGTTTGCAATGGTCCCCCCTTCTTCAAATTTCTGACAATTTTTGACATTTTCGAAATTTGACTACATACATTTTTTGTAGATTTCGAGCTCTAAAACACACTTCTGGCCTCGTTCCATTGATAACTGTAACTGTTCTTCCAAAATCAACCGCTGAAATATCGAAATTTTTGGAAATTTTCAAAAATTGGCATTTCGTACCGATTCTTTCGAAAATGTTGCTCCGTGACCATCAACACGCTACATTTTTGGAATCAACATGTCGATATCCAAGTACCTGAATTTTTTCAGAATTTTTAGACAACTTTTTTAAAAGTAAAATTTTTCCAATGGTCCCCCTTCTTCACATTTCGGCCCAATTTTGACATTTTCGAAACTCAACTAAACACATTTTCTCGTAGATTTCGAGCTCTAGAACTCAGTTCCGGCCTGGATTCTTTGATAACTGCAACCGTTTTTCCGGAATCGACCGTTGAAATATCGAGATTTTTAGAAATTCTCAGAATTTAAAAATCGTAATATACACTGAAAAATCTCAAAATTGAAAACTCCCAAAACATAAACATTGAAAATTTGAGAAATCGAAAAACTGAGAAATCGAGAAATCGGAAAGAGGAAAAATCGAAAAGTCGTAATTTTAAAGAATCCATTAATCGGGAAATTGAGAAATCGAAAAATTTAGAAAGGCCAAAAATTGGAAAATTGAAAGTCTAAATGCATAAATCCCAAAACTGAAACGTTGAAAAATTTGAAAATCGAAAAATCGAAAAGATAAATTATTTATCGAAGAACTGAAAAATCCAGAAATCGAAATCGAAAAATTGAGAAATCTCGAAATCTAAAAATCAAACAATCGAGAAGTCGAAGAAACGAAAAATTTAAAAATGAAAGTAACTAAAAATCGAAAATTGAGACAATCCAAAATTAAAAAAAACAATAAACCGAAAAAGTGAAAAATCGAAACATCGAAAAACTGAAAAATTAGTTCCGAAAAATTGAACAATCGAAAAAAATCTATAAACGACATTGCAAAAAATCGAAAAATTGAGAAATCTGGAAAATCTAAAATTTAAAAATCACCATATTTTGAACAATCGAATATGTAAGAAACCAAAACCACGAAAAGTAGAAAAATCGGAAAATTTAAGTCCCAAAATTGAAATAGATAGAAGATAAGTTTTCGAAATTTCATTGCGAGGTTTCGTTTTGTTTTATTTTCGAATCTAGCCTTGATAAATTAAATATTCATTTTTCTTAAAAAATAACGGTTACTTGTTTAAACTCCATTAATTCACTTTTATTTTAAGAAACGTACTTTTTGAGTTGAACATATTTTATTTTGTGATACTACAACACAGTTTCTACCCGAACAATTTCTGTAATCAAGCAAGGAAACTTTAGTCCTTGTCCAGTGTTTAGGGAATTATGGCAACACAGAAGGATAGAGGAGGCGGAGAAACGTAATACCCCTCGCTACTGGGTACCGACAATATTTTTTCGTGCGATAGTACTTCAAGAGCGAGGGAAGTTCTGTTGAAACAACTTTCGACCAGTTTTATTTTTAACTTTATTAAGTAACATCGTTTGCAGAGAGTGAGTTCGGACAGAAAAAACTATCGCCACGATTTACTAAGACACGGAATATGTGCCAGTAGGAAATGTGGAAAACACAATGAGACAATACCTGAGTGCTTAAGTCGCATATACAAACTAAAATATGGACGTTTAGGGCTTGATACTCAAATTAACCAGCTGCACTGCGAAACGAAGGAATCCGAATATGTTATAAGGACCAAAGATTTTGTTGTTTTGTATATAACTCCATCCATTTCAACACCTGAATTCATTTCGAAGTTTTAGGATCGTTTTGGGAACTTACGTGGGCTTTGTAGTACTCGCTTCAGTATGGTTGACGATTTATGGAAAGAAATCAGTGAAAAATGAGGACACAAAAATATCTTCGGGTGAGCTTTACATTATCGTGTCTTTAGGTATAATATATTAAATTTTGTTTCAGTGGAGGATTTTCTCTCTGCATTTTCACTTTCTGATAATATCCGTTCTATAATGCACAAAAACGTAGGAAAACAGGCCAATAATTATTTACCTACTATACAAGGTGTCCGATTTTTTGCTTCATTTTTTCTGATCGTGGTTCATACAACAGCTGCATTGTTACAAATTGCAGTTGCTAATCCCGAAAGTGTAGAAAAAGTAAAAAGTATAAAACGATAAGTGTACCATAATAAAACAAGTAATTTTATGTAGATGGGAAAGTCCTTTGTCAGTCTTGCTTTATACAGTCAAGCAACATTTGTTCAAGCTTTCTTCGTAATTTCCTCTTTCTTGATGACATTCAACTTTTACAGTCACATGACACGTGTAGGCAAGGTTACCCTAGGATACACTTTACGCGGAATCGTCAAAAGATATATAAGGTTATATACACAAACTGTGGTTAAAATTTATTTCAAATTTATAAACGAATTCCAGGTTTACCTCAGGACAAGCTATTCTTATCGCTTTTTGCAGTACATGGTTTGTACACTTATATCGTGGACCGTTTTGGGAACAAGTGTTAGGATCTGAATATAGACAGTGTAGTGAAAAATGGTGGACTAACTTACTTTACATCAGTAATTTTTTCTTTGACCTTGGATCGGTAAGATTTTAAAACGTTCCATCGACAGTTTAACATTCTTTTATTTAAGTGTTTACCCCACCTCTGGTACTTGTCTGTAGATTTTCAGCTGACTGTGATTGGTTTATTGATTTTGTGGTTGACGCAAAATAATTCGCGCCAACTATTTTTGGTTTCAGGAATGTTACTTTCATTACAAGTCATATGGACATTCATTTACCTAGGACGAAATAACTTCGAATTCAGTTTTATGTTTGCACCAGAGTAATCATAACCAAAGTTGTAATTAAGCCAACTCTAATTCCTATGTTTTTCGTTAATTTTAGGTTAGGGTATGACTTGAAATTTACGTTTGTCAAAGAGTGGCAGGCGACTTGGATAACTACAATCTCTAATTTGGCTGGACTTGCCTGGGGGTTCATTTTCGGTTACATGTATTCACACCGTCAGAATATCAATTTTTTTACGAAAAGAGTTAACTGTCACAAAATAGTATTTTCACTTTTAACAAAAAAATTTTAGAATAACCGCATTTGGTGGTCCGCGATTGTAACGGTTTGTACTCTGGGAACGATGTTATTTTCTGCATATTACAAGACTACTGATTACTATTCGAATAGTAGGTGGTTTGCTGCAACTTATGGTAGTATGGAGAAAGTGCTATGTGTTTTTGGAATGAGTCTGTTCATTTTTGGCACGTTGCGAGGTCTGGGTGGTATGTTTTTGCTATTTTTAAGTGTCCAAAATTATCACTGTGTTTTAGGGTTTGTTAGAAATGTTCTAGAATGGGCGCCAATGCATACTCTGGGAAAATTGTCGTTTGGTACATATTTAATTCATGTACTGTTTCTTTGGTGTGACAATGCCTTAAAACGAAATCCTACTCATTTCACATGGTATTTAGTGGTATGTATTTTAGTGTGTCGTTTTAATTTTTTTTTTTTTTTAATTACCCGTTTTAGACCACTGAGATGTGTAAAAACCTTAGTATTTCTTACTTAGGGTCAGTAATCTTGACTTCGTTCGTCTTGATGCCAACAGAAAACTTAGTGAGGAAGTTTTTGTAGAAAATAACGTTTCATTTGGATATCCTTTTTGTTACTCAACAAACGGTCAGAGAATGTAGATATTCAGTAGAAACACCGATAAAGCTGTTGAATTATGTGAAGTGCCCTCTGTAATTCTCCTTCTACATTTTAAGACTTTTTGACACCTAAAGGAAATCCATTCTCAGAAAAAAATTTCGAACGTTCAATAATACTTATTATTATTGTACATGTCGACCTTGATGTCCGGTGCTGTAGGTACGCCCAAGGACCACATTTTTAACCAAAATAATAAAATATTATTGTCTCTGACTTACGCTCGTTATTCTTGACTTCGTCTATTTTTATGTCGTGCAAAAAATTAGCAAACAAGTTTTTGTTAAAAATAACAATGACGTAAGAAATGTTTCTTACAGTAATAAACAAACTTATCAGATATTTAGTAATTATTACTTCCTAAACTACAAAGATACAGGTCTCCCGTTTCCGTCTGTCTGTCTGTCTGTCTGTCTGCCTGCCTGTCTGCCGTCTACCCGTTTTTTATTAGATAAATAATCTTCAAAACTGCTGCACTGATTATTGTCAAATTTTATATGTATACTAGCTGACCCGGTAAACGTTGTTTTGCCATATAAATTGTTTCCAGTGAATATTTTGGTAGTTAAATGAAAAATTAAATTATAATAAATAGATAAATTATAATTAAATTAAATTATTATAGTTTATCATAATTTAAAAGGTTTCGTTTCCCTCATCAGAGGAAAATCTCGATTGTTCAATTATTGTTAAGTATGTGCATGTCGACCTTGATGGGACCAACATTTTGACCGAAATATCAAAATATTATTGCATCTGACTTAAGTCGATTAATCCCGACCTTGTCTGCTTTTATGTTGAGCAAACGTTTACCAAACAAGTTTCTGTGAAAAATAACAATAACGCAGGGAGTTTTCCCTCCTTACGTATGATCGACAGTAATAACCAACATGTTAAACTGTCGCCAACTTATTAGATAATTTTTTTTTATTATTTAGAATAGTCATTTTATTATGTATTCAAGTTTAAAATTAAATATGCGAACTATTTTAGGACTTAAAGGAAGCAAAACAAAACCATAAAAGAAAAAAATCGGGATTTGTCAAGTCCATTTTTAAGATTAATTATGTCTTTTTATTCTTTTAGCCATCAATTTGTTGTAGACGGATTTTCTTCTGATTTTTTTTTTACATAATTACTCTAGATTTTTTTTCTGATCTGCCACTGGTGGTTTTTCCGTTCATCTCCATTATTTTATTTTTGCAATTTTTACAGTTACACTTATGACAAATTGCCTTATCACAAAAATATAAATTTCTTTTAAGTTTTGCCAATAATTGACAAATATAATGAGTTAATTACAATGACAGCGCAGCGCTTAACTGCACTGTAAAAATAAATTTGCAACTGTATTATTGAAACACCATTGGCGATAAAAAAAATAAATAAAATGGATAAAATAGATGAATAGGTGACCTGTTTTTAACAAGAATTAGTGTAGTTTGCATTGCCGGGTCTTTATGACTTTACTTATTATAAGTAAAATGAATTGGAGAAAATTTGCAGTTATAACATTTTTGATATTAACAAGTATTTCTTCTGCTATAAATATTACAGGTAATTATTTAGGCACGCTTTTTATTTGTCTGCTATAAAATTAGTTTATTTTTTATTTTCCTTACAGACGAAGAGTACAGATTGATACCAGACCTGTTTAATTTTGACGATTACGACAAATGCATTTTTTACAGTACTGATCCTGAACCAACTTATTGCAGGGTTACGATTAAATTGCTGCCCAAAAATCGTTCACAGTCAAACGCTGTATGGAGTGTTATAGAGGTAATATTGAACGTTCCGCTTTTTTTTAATTAGCTCTAAATAAAATATATTTAAATGCAATTTTGATACAAATACAATTCGGACATAACATATATATTAACATCGATACAAATTTCCCTTGGCAGATTAAATAGGGTCGTTCTCAAAAAATGTTTGACTTGAATTTTTTAATTCTTCAGTTTTTTTTCAGTTTTTCATTTTGCAATTTTTAAGTTTTCAAGTTTAAATTTTTCAATCTTTGAATTTTCCAACTTTTGAATTTGTTAGTTTTTAGATTTTGCAATTTTTCGATTCGAGTTTCTCCGATTTTCGATTCTTAATTTTTAATTTTTCAGTTTGTCGTTTCTTCAATTTTTCATTTCTTCAGATTTTCTGTTCTTAGTTTTTTTGTTTTAGCTTATTATTTTCTTAATTTTCACAATTTTTTGCTTTTTAATTTCGATTTCTTGAACTCTTTGTTTCCTCAATTTTTCGATTTGTAAATTTCCAATGTTTCATTTTCCTTGTTTCTCCAATTTTTAGATTTTGCAGTTTTTCGATTTAAAATTCCAAGAGGATTCAATTTTTCATTTTTCAATTTTTCGACTATTTAATTTTTCATTTTTCAAATTTTCTATTTGTAGTTTTTCGTTTTAGTTATTTGTTCTCTTCATTTTACCAATTTTTCGATTTTTCAATGTTCTGATTATATAATTTTTTGTTTTTCCATTTCGATTTCTTCAATTTTTGGATTCTTCAATTTTTCGATTTGCAATTTTTCAAGTTTTCAAGTTTAAATTTTTAGATTTTTCAATTTTCCAACTTTTGAATATTTCAGTTTGTAGATTTTGCAATTTTTCAATTCTAGTGTCTCGAATTTTTAATTTTTCAATTTGTCGTTTCTTCAATTTTTCATTTTCTCATATTTTCTATTTGTAATTTTTCGTTCTAGCTTATTATTTCTTCATTTTCACAATTGTTTGCTTTTTCAATTTAGATTTCTTCAATTTTTTGCTTCTTCAAGTTTTCGATTTGCAATTTTTCAAGTTTAAATTTTTCAGTTTTGTCAATTTTTCAACTTTTGAATTTTTGAATTTTAAAATTTTGCAATTTTTCGATTACAGTTTCTCCATTTTTCCATTCCTAATTTCCATTTGAAGCTTATTGTTTTAGTTTTTTGTTTTCTTTAATTTTATAAGTTATTCCATTTTTCAATCTCTCGATTTTATAAATTTTGTTTTTTTCAATTTGAACGTTTTCAATTTTTCGATTTGCGAATTTCCAATTTTTAATTTTTTTTGTTTCTTCAATTTTTAGATATTGCAGTTTTTCGATTTGAAATTACAAGAGGACTGAATTTCTAATTTTTCAATTTTTCGACCGTTTAATTTTTGATTTTTCAAATTTTCTATTTGTAGTTTTTGGTTTTGGTTTTTGTTTTCTTCATTTTCACAATTTTTTTATTTTTCGATGTTTTAATTATATAATTTTTGCTTTTTTTTTCATTTAGATTTCATTTTTTTTGTTTCTTCAATTTTTCGATTTGCAGTTAAAAATTTTTAGTTCTTCAATTTTCCAAATTTTGAACTTTTCAGTTTTTAAATTTTACAATTTTCGTTTCACGTTTCCCCAATTTTTCATTTTTTAATTTTTCAGTTTTTCCATTTGCAGCTCATTGTTTCGGTTTTTTGTTTTCTTTAATTTTTCAGTTATTCAATTTTTCAATCTCTCGATTTTATAAATTTTGTTTTTTTAATTTCAATCTTTGCAATTTTTTGTTTCTTCAATTTTTCAATTTACGAATTTCCAATATTTCATTTTTCTTATTTCTTGAATTTTTAGATTTTGCAGCCTTTCCATTTAAAATTCCTAGAGGATTCGATTTTTCAATTTTCAATTTTTCGACTGATTAATTTCTCATTATTTGAAATTTTCTATGTTTTTCGTTTTATTTTTTGTTTTCTTTATTTTCACAATTTTTTCAATGTTTTGATTATATAATTTTTGTTTTTTCCCATTTCGATTTCTACAATTTTTTTGCTTCTTCAATTTTTCAATTCTCCAACTTTTGAATTTTTCAGTTTTTCGATTTCGCAATTTTTCGATTCGAGTTTCCCTAACTTTTAATTTTTCAATTTGTCGTTTTTTCAGTTTTTCATTTCTTAAAATTTTCTATTTGTATTTTTTCGTTTAAGCTTATTATTTTCTTCATTTTCACAATTTTTTGCTTCTTCAATTTTTCGATTTGCAATTTTTCAAGTTTCCAAGTTTAAATTTTTCAGTTTTTCAATTTTCCAACTTTTGAATTTTTCAGTTTTTAAATTTTGCAATTTTTAGATTGCAGTTGCTCCAATTTTCCATTCCTAACTTTTCAGTCTTTCCATTTGCAGTTTATTGTTTCGGTTTTTTGTTTTCTTTAATTTTTTCAGTTATTCGATTTTTCAATCTCTCGATTTTATAGATTTTATTTTTTCAATTTGAATGTTTTCAATTTTTTGTTTCTTCATATTTTTCGATTTGCGAATTTCCAATTTTTTACTTTTCTTGTTTCAAAATTCCAAGAGGTTTTAATTTTTAATTTTTCAATTTTTCGATTTTCTAATTTTTCATTTCTTTAAATTTTCTGTATGCAATTTTTCGGTTTAGTTTTCTATTTGCTTCATTTTCACAATTTTTCGATTTTTCACTGTTCTGTTTACATAATTTTTAATTTTTTTCAATTACGGTTTCTTCAATTTTTTTGCTTCTTTCATTTTTCCTTTAGCAATTTTTTAATTTTTAATTTTTTCTGTTTCTTCAATTTTACGAAATGCAACTCTGCGGGCTTTCAATTTAAAATTGTGGGTTTTTCGATTTTCCTGCTTTGAGATATTTCAATGTTAAGATTTCGCAAATTTCCTGTTTGTAGTTTCACGTGTTTTCGATTTGCCATTTTTCGTTCCAGTTTTTTGTTTTCTTAATTTTTTCAAATTTTCGGATTTCCAGTGATCCGAATTTTTATTGTGATAATTTTCAATTTTTCAATTTTGAAATTTTTCGAATTGCAGTTTGCAATTTTTCGGTTTTCAAGTCTTCGATTTTTAAACTTCTAGATTTTTTAATATTCCATTTTTTTCAATTTTACATTTTCCAGTTTCTCCATTTTTCAGTTTTTCATTTCTTCAATTTTTGATTTGCAATTTTTCTAGTTTTCATTTTAAATGCAATAGTAATTATAATTTTTAAAATCTTTCACTTTTCAAACTACACGATTTTAGTGTTTCCATTTATCAATTTTTAAATTTTAAAACTTTTTTTTTATTCAATTTTTCGATTTTTAATTTTTCAATTTTTCGAGTTTACAGTTTTGACAATTATTCTATAATTTTTCGGTTGCATAATTTTTGAGTTCAGATTTTTGGATTCGGTTCGTTTTTTCTTGTTTCCAATTTTTCGATTCATTAATTTTTTTCGATGTTTAAGTTTCTCGGTTTTAAGTTTTTCAATGTTTCAATTTTTCATCTCTTCAGTTCTTCTACTTTTCGATTTTTAATTTTTCGATTTTTCATCTTTTCGAATCAAAAAAATGGAAAAATTACGTAAGAGTAAAATTGAAAAATCAAAAATTCCCAAATCTGAAGATTAAAAATTGGAAAACTTAAAAATCGAAAAAGTGCAAAATCAAAAAACAAAACATGTATTGTAAAATCAAAATATTGGAAATTCAAGAAATCGTGAAAATTTGAAAAATTGAAGAAACGCAAAATTGAATAATTTGGAAGTCGAAACTTTAAAAATTTTAATTAAATTATAAAGTTCTGTTTCAAAATTTTTTTATTGAAATTGACACCTTTAAATTTTGAAAAAATCCTAAATTCATATATTTCTTTTTTATTTCAGAATTTCCAAAAAGTTTTTTTTGTTCAAAGCTAGATGAATTTGGGTCTATTCGTGGTTTCATGACAATATCTTTTTACAGCAAGTGAGCTCGGACAAAAGAAACTATTGCCACGATTTACTAAGGCACGGTATATGTGCCAGTAAGAAATGCGTAAAGTACAACACGACAACATCTGAGTGCCTAAATCGCATCTACAGTACAAAATATGGACATTTAGGACTCGATGGTAAAATTAACCAATTAGACTGCGAAACGAAGGAACCCGATTATGTTATAAACACCGGAGACCTTATTCTTTTGTATAATATAACTCTGGTCATTTCAACACTTGAATATATTTCGAAGTTTTAGGGTGGTTTTAGGAACTTATGTGGTCTTTGTAGTAATCGCTTCAATATGGTTGGCGATTTATGGAAAGAAAACTGTTAAAAATGAAGACACAAAAATATCTCCGGGTGAGATTTGCTTTATTTTGACTTTATTCTATACTAGTTATATTAAATTTTGTTTCAGTGGAGAACTTTCTCTCTGTGTTTTCACTGTCTGATAATTTCCGTTTTATATTTAACAAAAACACTGGAAACCAGACAAAGAATTATCTATCAATTTTTCAAGGGATTCGATTTTTTTGTTCGCTTCTTGTGATTGGGTTCCATGCACTACTGTCTTATGCACGATTTCCAGTTTCTAACCCCCAAACAGTAGAAAAAGTAAAAATACAACAACATATATAAATGTAAAGCTCTAAACACATTATAATTTTAGCAAGTAACTAGTTTTAGTGTAGTTGCTTTAGTCAACCACTCCATGCTTTTTCAAGCTTTCTTCTTCATTTCCTCTTTTCTAACCACAGTTAATTTTTACAATCACCTGAGACGTGTAAACGATGTTACTCTGGAATACGTTGTACGCAAAATTGTCAAACGATACATTAAGTTTACCTCAGCACAAATTATTCTTATCGCTTTGCAAAGTAGATGGTTTGTGCACTTATCTCGGGGCCCGTTTTGGGACCAAATAATGGGGCTTGAAGGCAGACTGTGTAGTGAAATGTGGTGGACAAACCTTCTTTACATCAATAACTTTTTCTTTGACCATGGATTGGTAAGGTGGAACGTTTTATCGATTGTTTGAAAAAACGTTGTTTGTATTTAAGTGTTTACTCCACTCGTGGTCATTGTCGGTAGAATTTCAGCTGACTGTAATTGGTTTATTAGTTTTGTGGCTGACGCAAAAGAATTCGAAACGTCTGTTTTTGATTTCAATAGGATTACTTTTAGTGCAGGTCGTATGGACGTTCTTTTATTTAGGATGGAATAACTTCGAATTTAGTACTTTATTTACGCCAGAGTCAGTGCTTTGGAAGCTGTTTTTTCAACTTATTTGATTTTTATTTTCAGGTCACTGTATGGTTTTACTTTTTTGTTTAGGAAAGAGTGGCAAGCGACTTGGATAACCACCGTCTCCAATTTAGCTGGACTTGCCTGGGGGTTGCTTTTCGGCTACATATATTCACACCGCCAGAATAACACATTTATTACTAAAAAAGTTAACTCTAATAAAGTGGTATCTTGCCGTTTCACACAAAAATTTTTAGTCTGACCACATTTGGTGGTACGCGATTGTACTTATTTCCACTTTTGGAACGATATTTTTTTCTGGATTTTACAAGACCAGTGATTATTACTCGAACAGCAGGTGGTTCGCTGCTAGCTATGGTAGCATTGAAAAAGTGGTATGCGTGTTTGGCATCAGTCTTTTTATTTTTGGCACGTTGCAGGGTCTTGGTGGTATGTTTTGCTATTTTTAAGTGTACTAAAACCATTGTTACGTTTCAGGATTTGTTAGAAACTTTCTGGAATGGGCTCCAATGCATACTCTGGGCACGTTATCGTTTGGTACATATTTAGTTCATTTTACGTTTTTTAACATGGACATCGCTTTAAAACGAAATCCCACTTACTTCTCGCCTTATTTGATAGTAAATTTATTTATTTTGTTTTTTGTTATTTTTTGAACAATTGTGTTTTTAGACTAGCGAGATATTTAAAAATGTTGTCATGTCCAACTTTTGTTCAGTGATCTTGACAGCGTTTGTTTTGATGCCAATAGAAAGTTTAACGAACAGGTTTTTGTAAAAATAAATATTGTAGGACTTGCATCGATGGATTTATCACATCGTCAACTTCTACACAAAGTTTTGTAATTGTTACTAATCATTAATAATATAATACACCCCTAAAATTGTACAATCTAGACTTGAAACAATCCACTGTTCCCTTTAGAATTGCAATTACGACCACTTTTTTTGTGACGCGACGCAATTCCTTCCGCGGAAAGTGAATTGCGCTGAGAGCCACAATTCTCCCCAACCCGTGAAGCTGCGAAACACAGCTATGCCAGTGAATTAAAGTGGTTGAAATTTCCATAAAATGTTGCCAAAAATGACTTCTATAAAACTAAATAAACAAAAAAACTTTGGGTATTATTCAAAATTGCTCGGAAAAAGGTCAAAAAGTTCATATTCAAAATAGCCTCTTTTGGTGGACTCAAGGTAAGATTTACGAAATTTTATGTTTCAAAATAAAATTTTTAAAATAAGTGCTCCAAAAATTTGGCCATTTCATTTTGGGGATTTTGGAAAAGTAATTGAAATTTTCACAAAAAGGTGCCAAAAATGACTTCTGCGAATCGAAATCAAGAAAAATCTTTGGGTAATTTTCAAAATTACTCAGAAAAAAGTCAGAAAGTTCACATTCAAAATATGAGCTTTTTGCAAGGTTGTCTGAAAATATACAAAAAATTAAAGTGGTTGAAATTTCCATAAAATGTTGCCAAAAATGCCTTCTATAAAACTAAATAAACAAACAAACTTTGGACAATATTCAAAATTGCTCGGACAAAGGTCAAAAAGTTCATGTTCAAAATGGCCTCTTTTGGAGGACTCAAGGTAAGATTTACGAAATTTTATGTTTCAAAATAAAATTTTTAAAATACTCCAAAAATTTGGCCATTTCATTTTGAGGATTTAGGAAAAGTAATTTAAATTTTCACAAAAAGTTGCCAAAAATGACTTCTGTGAATCGAAATCAAGAACAATCTTTGGGTAATTTTCAAAATTACTCAGAAAAAAGTCAGAAAGTTCACATTCAAAATATGAGCTTTTTGCAAAGTTGTCTGAAAATATACAAAAAATTAAAGTGGTTGAAATTTCCATAAAATGCTGCCAAAAATGTCTTCTATAAAACTAAATAAACAAACAAACTTTGGGTAATATTCAAAATTGCTCGGAAAAAGGTCAAAAAGTTCATATTCAAAATGGCCTCTTTTGGTGGACTCAAGGTAAGATTTACGAAATTTTATGTTTCAAAATAAAATTTTTGAAATACTCCAAAAATTTGGCCATTTCATTTTGAGAATTTAGGAAAAGTAATTGAAATTTTCACAAAAAGTTGCCAAAAATGACTTCTGTGAATCGAAATCAAGAACAATCTTTGGGCAATTTTCAAAATTACTCAGAAAAAAGTCAGAAAGTTCACATCAAAATATGAGCTTTTTGGAAAGTTGTCTGAAAATATAAAAAAAATTAAAGTGGCTGAAATTTCCATAAAATGTTGCCAAAAATGCGTTCTATAAAACTAAATAAACAAAAAAACTTTGGGTAATATTCAAAATTGCTCGGAAAAAGGCCAAAAAGTTCATATTCAAAATGGCCTGTTTTGGTGGACTCAAGGTAAGATTTACGAAATTTTATGTTTCAAAATAAAAGTTTTAAAATGCTCCAAAAATTTGGTCATTTCATTTTGGGGATTTTGGAAAATTAATTGAAATTTTCACAAAAAGTTGCCAAAAATGACTTCTGTGAATCGAAATCAAGAACAATCTTTGGGTAATTTTCAAAATTACTCAGAAAAAAGTCAGAAAGTTCACATTCAAAATATGAGCTTTTTGCAAAGTTGTCTGAAAACATACAAAAATTAAAGTGCTTGAAATTTTCATAAAATGTTGCCAAAAATGCCTTCTATAAAACTAAATAAACAAACAAACTTTGGGTAATATTCAAAATTGCTCGGAAAAAGGTCAAAAAGTTCATGTTCAAAATGGCCTCTTCTGGTGGGCTCAAGGTAAGATTTACGAAATTTTATGTTTCAAAATAAAATTTTTAAAATACTCCAAAAATTTGGCCATTTCATTTTGGGGATTTTGGAAAAGTAATTGAAATTTTCACAAAAAGTTGCCAAAAATTACTTCGGTGAATCGAAATCAAGAACAATCTTTGGGTAATTTTAAAAATTACTCAGAAAAAAGTCAGAAAGTTCACATTCAAAATATTAGCTTTTTGCAAAGTTGTCTGAAAACATACAAAAAATTAAAGTGCTTGAAATTTTCATAAAATGTTGCCAAAAATGCCTTCTATAAAACTAAATAAACAAACAAACTTTGGACAATATTCAAAATTGCTCGGACAAAGGTCAAAAAGTTCATGTTAAAAATAGCCTCTTTTGGTGGACTCAAGGTAAGATTTACGAAATTTTATGTTTCAAAATAAAATTTTTAAAATACTCCAAAAATTTGGCCATTTCATTTTGAGGATTTAGGAAAAGTAATTGAAATTTTCACAAAAAGTTGCCAAAAATGACTTCTGTGAATCGAAATCAAGAACAATCTTTGGCTAATTTTCAAAATTACTCTGAAAAAAATCAGAAAGTTCACATTCAAAATATGAGCTTTTTGCAAAGTTGTCTGAAAACATACAAAAAATTAAAGTTCTTGAAATTTTCATAAAATGTTGCCAAAAATGCCTTCTATAAAACTAAATAAACAAACAAACTTTGGACAATATTCAAAATTGCTCGGACAAAGATCAAAAAGTTCATGTTCAAAATGGCCTTTTTTGGTGGACTCAAGGTAAGATTTACGAAATTTTATGTTTCAAAATAAAATTTTTAAAATACTCCAAAAATTTGGCCATTTCATTTTGAGGATTTAGGAAAAGTAATTGAAATTTTCACAAAAAGTTGCAAAAATGACTTCTGTGAATCGAAATCAAGAACAATCTTTGGGTAATTTCCAAAATTACTCAGAAAAAATTCAGAAAGTTCACATTCAAAATATGAGCTTTTTGCAAAGTTGTCTGAAAATATACAAAAAATTAAAGTGGTTGAAATTTCCATAAAATGTTGTCAAAAATGCCTTCTATAAAACTAAATAAACAAACAAACTTTGGACAATATTCAAAATTGCTCGGAGAAAGGTCAAAAGGTTCATGTTCAAAATGGCCTCTTTTGGTGGACTCAAGGTAAGATTTACGAAATTTTATGTTTCAAAATAAAATTTTTAAAATTCTCCAAAAATTTGGCCATTTCATTTTGAGGATTTAGGAAAAGTAATTGAAATTTTCACAAAAAGTTGCCAAAAATGACTTCTGTGAATCGAAATTAAGAACAATCTTTGGGTAATTTTCAAAATTACTCAGAAAAAAGTCAGAAAGTTCACATTCAAAATATGAGCTTTTTGCAAAGTTGTCTGAAAATATACAAAAAATTAAAGTGGTTGAAATTTTCCTAAAATGTTGCCAAAAATGACTTTTATAAAACTAAATAAACAAACAAACTTTGGCTAATATTCAAAATTGCTCGGAAAAAGGTCAAAAAGTTCATGTTCAAAATGGCCTTTTTTGGTGGACTCAAGGTAAGATTTACGAAATTTTATGTTTCAAAATAAAATTTTTAAAATACTCCAAAAATTTGGCCATTTCATTTTGAGGATTTAGGAAAAGTAATTGAAATTTTCACAAAAAGTTGCCAAAAATGACTTCTGTGAATCGAAATCAAGAACAATCTTTGGGTAATTTCCAAAATTACTCAGAAAAAATTCAGAAAGTTCACATTCAAAATATGAGCTTTTTGCAAAGTTGTCTGAAAATATACAAAAAATTAAAGTGGTTGAAATTTCCATAAAATGTTGCCAAAAATGCCTTCTATAAAACTAAATAAACAAACAAACTTTGGACAATATTCAAAATTGCTCGGAGAAAGGTCAAAAGGTTCATGTTCAAAATGGCCTCTTTTGGTGGACTCAAGGTAAGATTTACGAAATTTTATGTTTCAAAATAAAATTTTTAAAATTCTCCAAAAATTTGGCCATTTCATTTTGAGGATTTAGGAAAAGTAATTGAAATTTTCACAAAAAGTTGCCAAAAATGACTTCTGTGAATCGAAATTAAGAACAATCTTTGGGTAATTTTCAAAATTACTCAGAAAAAAGTCAGAAAGTTCACATTCAAAATATGAGCTTTTTGCAAAGTTGTCTGAAAATATACAAAAAATTAAAGTGGTTGAAATTTTCCTAAAATGTTGCCAAAAATGACTTTTATAAAACTAAATAAACAAACAAACTTTGGCTAATATTCAAAATTGCTCGGAAAAAGGTCAAAAAGTTCATGTTCAAAATGGCCTCTTTTGGTGGACTCAAGGTAAGATTTACGAAATTTTATGTTTCCAAATAAAATTTTTAAAATACTCCAAAAATTTGGCCATTTCATTTTGAGGATTTAGGAAAAGTAATTGAAATTTTCACAAAAAGTTGCCAAAAATGACTTTTGTGAATCGAAATCAAGAACAATCTTTGGGTAATTTTCAAGATTACTCAGAAAAAAGTCAGAAAGTTCACATTCAAAATAAGAGCTTTTTGCAAAGTTGTCTGAAAATATACAAAAAATTAAAGTGGTTGAAATTTCCATAAAATGTTGCCAAAAATGTCTTCTATAAAACTAAATAAACAAACAAACTTTGGGTAATATTCAAAATTGCTCGGAAAAAGGTCAAAAAGTTCATATTCAAAATGGCCTCTTTTGGTGGACTCAAGGTAAGATTTACGAAATTTTATGTTTCAAAATAAAATTTTTAAAATACTCCAAAAATTTGGCCATTTCATTTTGAGGATTTAGGAAAAGTAATTGAAATTTTCACAAAAAGTTGCCAAAAATGACTTCTGTGAATCGAAATCAAGAACAATCTTTGGGCAATTTTCAAAATTACTCAGAAAAAAGTCAGAAAGTTCACATCAAAATATGAGCTTTTTGGAAAGTTGTCTGAAAATATAAAAAAAATTAAAGTGGCTGAAATTTCCATAAAATGTTGCCAAAAATGCGTTCTATAAAACT